TTTGCGCCCATAGCCGGCTGACGTTCTCCTTGGCCTTTATGGCGTTGTGAACCTCCCTTAAGTAAGAGCTGGTTCCTCCAAGCGTTGATGTCGCACGTGGAGGGAGGACGCTCTCGGGCAGCCTCCTGTAACGAGCTGCATGTAGGTCCTTCACTTTGTGCGCCGAGATGTAAGCGGAATCTATCCATTCTAGTTGATCCTCGAAGCATGTATCCTCGTTCGTTGTAGGTTCTCAGGTCGATGAGAGGTGAACTCATATCTGGTAGATCGAGAACGTTTTGGTCGTCTTCTGGTGCCCTCCTTCATCTTTTCGGGGACCGCCTGTTCCAACTCTGGAAATAAGTTGAGCCAACAAAATCCCGGTTTCATCATGGAAAGTTATATCTATGCAGTGAGATGAGTGTGGACCTTCAGCTGGAGGGGCTTCACTTGCTCATCATTTAGGATCGCGCATGTCCAAAAGATAGATATAGGTTTGTTTCCTAAAAGTGAACGAAAGTCTGGGCAATTCCTGACAGCGGTGCCAAGGTATAGCGGTTACTGTTCGTGCGGTTGAGCCGTACGAAATCCGTGATTGCCGGTGCGTTATGACCGATCTCGACGTTCTGTTTGGGTAACGGGCCCCTCTTGAACGTTTCCTTGATGCGATGTACGGAATAGGTTCAGGACATTCGTTCGGCCATATCGAGCGTATGCTGCACGTATGATTTGAGGAGTTAAATCAGAAATGTACCAGTAGGATTTTGTACATAGCATTCCTTGGTAAATAAACGGCAGAGGAAGACGGGACGAAATGGTTCCTGGTCTATTTCCTCAAAGACCTCATACAAACGTGCCCATGCGCTTTCCCTCCGCTTATCGAACGTAGCAAGCGTTGAAAAGGTAACGATTATGGTCTTGTAACCTTCGAGCGCGGATGATCAAGAACAGTACCCCTCGATGGCCGATGATCTATGCGCAGCTGTCAAGTCACAGTCCCATTGCCCAAGCTGATCCCTAACCTGAGTGTGTCGTCGCATCTCCCGTTCTGCGAAGGAACAAGGCCCCTCTTCGGAGCCTCATTCTAAGGGGTCTCATCGTAAGTGTGCTTTGTATCTGAAGCTCTTGTCGTTTCTGGCCGTGGTCCTCCAACTTGCTTCTATTCGAAACTCTTCTGTAGTCTTTGTTCTTAGACTCTGGCTCTAGGTCTTAGTCACCTCTCGCCCCTCTTCGTGATTGGTACGCAATTTATTACAGTAAGCTTAGTTTGATTAAGGTTTTTGTTGACGCGTAGAAACTTTACTGAGCAATGTATCCAAATGGCGTTAATCTCATTTTGTCCTCGATCGGTAATAGCCACAGTCGGCTGAGACTCGTCATTGCATCTTGCATCCACCTTTGCTTTTAGCTGATAAAGTCAACTCACCGGAACACTTGAATGTTGGTTCTTTGTCAAGAGGAAAGCAACAGAAATACGATAGCCTGTCTCCCTATTTATCACGACAATAGGAAACACGTAGATGTCGTGCTTGATAAGAGATGGAAGAATACGTAGTGCATGAGTGATTGTCCGCTTCGAGCATGACAAAAGAAAATGAGCGGAATAACATGCCCACAGGCATGATGTGTCATCAAACGGAGCACACCTCCCCATTTCCTCAGCTCGTTCAGCTGCCGCGGCGATGCAAATTCTTGATATAGGCAGCGATCTTGATCGTAGTAGGTGAAATAGCTTTGCTTCTCAGGACCTTCCATCCAAAGTCGCGCCAAAACAACTAATCCACGTTCTTACTCATTTTTTTGCAAGTTAGTATATACAAAATGTTGTAGAAGTCGTCATAGGTAATGAGATAGTCCCTGGAGTCTCGTTAGTTGTCGCCGCCTTCCATAAGCCGAGAAAACGTTGCACGACCGATGGTCAACTAGTTCATGATCGCGGACATCGACATTCCTTTCACCAGCATAGGATTTAGCCTCTCTTTCTTGGCTTGGGAGCTGTATTCGTGCAACTTGGTGGTGTATACGTGCGGATGCCCTTGTGATGTAAGTCGGTGCCGATGCTGATGCCGTGCCTCCCAACCATCGAGTTAGCTCGCCTTGAATTAAAAGGCCAGGCGGCTTTTATCGTCCTGGATTATGATATTCATGATTGCTGCCACTTATGCCGTCGCCGAAGAGACTATCATTCCTAGTTACATCACCGTCCTTGTCAGGCATGTCCATCTCAGCTAGGCGAAGTCTCTTGATGTATAGTTGCTAGGAAGGTCAGAAGTAGCAGAGTGTAGCATCATCAGTCGGGTAGCCTGCCAGGGCATCTACGAGGGCTCACAACGCTCGGTCCAAGTACTCATTATCCTGACTCTCAGATGGGTTAATTGGTTGATATCCGGGACTACGGTATCCGGCCCGTCCATGTTGTGCTGTGTGTGGTGCTGTTCGCTGCGGTGCACATCCCTATTTCCTGGCTGAATGAGGCTGGATAGGAAAGAGAAAAATAGCGTCCTCACGTGGAGGTAGTTAGCATACTGCGTTAATGAAAAAGGAAAAAGGATGTTGCATAGCTACCCACTCAGCCTTCTTCCGTTTCACGCGACAACTTCGACATACCCATCTTTCTTGCATAAGCAAGGCAACAGCGGATAAGGCGCCATGGAGCAACAGAGCACTCAGGACGAGCTGGAAGGCTATATCCGAGGTAAGGATGTTCGGCTGTTCATACCCGTCGATGGAGTAGTCCGGTATGTGCTCTAAGAGACACAGATCAGTAACATATCGCTGCTTGGTTGCAATAGACATGATGGCGATGCAAAGCGAGTCTACGACTGAGCAAAGCCTCTATGGACTGGATGCAGAGTTGGAGTGCCTCTTCCCAGGTAGATCTCAATCATTGCTGATAAAAAAAAAAAAAAAAGAGAGAGAGGTGGTCGCATCAACACTAACAAAAGCGCCTCTTCCGCACAGAAGTAGCCCGGGATCACAGCTTGAAGCAGTACTCGGCTGGTCAGATGCCGACCATGTCCTTCACTGTCGGTACCAATCTGATCCAAGAACCGTCTCCTCTTAGCGCTTCAGCGGTCACACTTTCCAAGGACTTACCGCGAGATCTTCTCGAGCAATGGTTGGAAAGCTCCTTGGCATCTTCGTTGCTTAGCAGTTTATCATCAGGCATCACGCATGATGGAACGGATTATCCGATCTGTGTCATATCACCACAGGTAGCCCCGTTGATCACCATCGATGCTGTTCACGGAATTTTCAAGCTGTGCGGGTATCTTCCATTACAGATCCAGCCATATGCGCACCCATCAGCACTCTCAGCCTACCTGGCAATCTTGCCTCCGGGTTCGGTGTATCCAGTTTTAGGTGTCATGGTTTCCTGGCCAGACAAGCTACGCGTTTTAGGAAGTATTGCCGACTCCTCGGGCGATCCTGGCAGACTCGTTCCATGTCTTGATCCCATCATACCCTCTCAGAGCGAACCCCTGGCCACGAGCGTCAGGATACATTTAGAAAACACGCTACAGCTCCTTCATATGGGGCTTACAGGGCATCCGCAATCCCGAGGGAAACTGCAGGATGATGTCCGGTCCCTGGAACAACAGCTCTTTTTCACAAGGGCAGAAGTGCAGAGACGAACCGTGAACACAGAGATCCTACGGGAGCGTTTACGTATGGAGCAAGTTATGGACCAACAGCGAACGTCTCTGCAAACATTCTATCGCAGCATCGGAAAGGCCAATCTGGCAAGTAACATGGAGCTGGCGGCGGAAGACAGTAGCAGGCAACGGTCCATGCTATCACGAGAGCTTAACGTGGAGATCAGGCTGATAGCGAATGCGAGGAAGAAGATCAAGGGTATGGACAGGGCCCTGAAAGGATTGAGGGACCGAGATCCATGGATGTCCGACTTCGTATCCCTGAGGCAGCATCAAGATCAGGCAGACTGCACAAGCACTGAACCAGCTCTATGTGTTCCTCTCTCCAAGTTCCAATCAGCCCCCGGCTTCAGCTATGAGCGGCATTGGAGAGCACTTTCAGCGGTCAATTGCATCAAAAACGTGCTAGAACCCGGTCCGAGAGTTCCATTACCAGGCAACAAACATTCTGACAATGTCCCGCTTTTTCTAAATACTACTGCTGGGAGTGGTGCTGAGCCGTGCGAGCAGTTCAAGCCCTCCTTACTTGTGGCTCGCTTCCAACGTTGGGTGCTTGCTCGCGAAGAATCAGCACGAAGCGGATATGGAGAGACCTCACTGCAAGACGAGTCCACAGATTTGCTTTTGCTGGATGCCGAGAGTGACTTTCTGCGTTCGAACAATCTTGACGTGGACACGTATTACAGTCTGTGTGACAGACATAAGCTACAGCTTCCAGAGATGTCTTTCCGCGATACTTCATCTGTGGCTCAAGGTAGGCTTCAAAGTGATCAGACAGGCGTTCAACGATTGTATGGTTGAGCAACATCTGCGAGTATTTCTTTCTTATTATTGACGATCGTCATATTTCTGGCTCTGGCGACACTAGGTGGTAAGATTGATAATGCTACAGAGTCCGACGGCAGTACGCGTGCTGACAGTCCGGCAGGAAGCGCTCTGGAAGGAAGCACTTTGGACGGAAGCCTGTTGGATGATTATTTCCAGCTGGATAGCGCTCCCTATCAAGAAGCGACAGAACCACGATGCGAACCAGCTATGCACTTACCGTCCATACTGGCCTGGTCAATCCTCAGCCCAGACGCGTCTCTTGTCCCGATCAACGAGGATCCTCGCGACCAATCACACACTGACCCCGATTTTATCATAGAGGAACCGTTACCAAACATTGCTACTCATGTCCGGGCCTTTACAGAGGATTCTTACACGCCAATTGTGCAGAATACTCTCAAAAACATGTGGCCAAGACTCGATGGAACTCAACAGCACCATCTCATGTCATCACTCGTGAGGATATTGGCCTCCATATGGAAAAACTTTGACCTTTTGGGTGGAAGTGCCCTTGAGGCACTTTTCGACTGCGATACAGCACGGGACATCTCGCAAGAGGAGGGGCAAGAGGAGCAACAAATTCACGAGCGCACTCGAGTCTGTCTGTCCACTATTTTGCCGACCAACGCTGAAATGTTCACTGTCGACTGGGAATGCACCAAGGAGCCGACACGTCCTAAGGAGACCGCGGAAGAACGTTTGTGCAAACTTGAGAACGAGTTTCTGAATCGTTCTTTCTTGGACGCTTTCAAAGAGGCCATTTCGCCTATGCCACGCTATCCTCCTCTGACGATCCACGATGACTCGAATAAAAACAGCGACGACTCGATCATAAGCGTCGACTGTCTACCTGAGCCTCGCATCGAGACTGAGCAGATGAGACCCAAGGACGGAATGGACGAAAATCGCCAATACTCGCACTCTTTTCTGGTATCTGGCAGCGGTCATGCCTCGCAGCGAATGACCACAACAAAGGCAAGAGCACAGGAAAGCATCACAACTCTGAAGACACATATCTTGCCCCTCAAGATAGATACTCAACGGAAGTGTAGCTGGATGCGCCCGATGGATTTTTCGCTAGACGATGTCCTTGTCCAGGCTGAGATCCGAGACCCTACTATAGCAGACAAGGACATAGCTATGAGCCATGCTGGACATAGAATACCCAGTATCGTGGGTGTGTCGAGGTGGAAGACGCTTTTCCCTATCAAAACTGCAGCTGGTCTGCTTGAAGGATCGGTACCAAGAAGCTCCAACATGTTTCAGACTAGGGCTCGGTCGTCCTCATATCCGCTTGTTCATCTGCTGACTCTTCCAGACGTGTTTTGTTCGACAGAATTTGGAGGACAGGATGATGGACCTAAAAGAGCGGTTGTTGATCTAGAACAGGAGGCAGACAGGTCAGGGCCGTGGCGTGGTTTAGCATACGACATGCGCCTTTGTTTGACCAGACATGACCCTAAGGCTGGGCAGTTTCTGGCCTTGTCTTTAGAGGACAAGGAGCGTGTGCTATACCACCGCTGGATGGTAGCATGGCATGAGCGATCGCCGCATGCACCCAAGGCCGCCCGGACGCGGTTTGAGATGATGAGGACTCTTGGACGCTACAGGTCCGAGGGGCGCAGGCGTAGGACTGAGGGGATTGATGATCGAATGTCAGAGCAATTACGCCAGAGCGGACAAGGACAAGAGCAAGGGGAACAGCCCAGGAAGAAGACACTTAAAGGGTGTGCTCGATGTGTGATCGAGAGAGAGGAGAGAGAAATGGCGTCGCAGGAGGTGGGATGGTTTGAGGAAACAGCCCAGTTTCTGGACGAAATGTTGTGCGAGAGTCATGGGCGTGCAGGGGAGGATTGCAGTGATGACGATGGTGTTCCTGCAAGAGAGCAATTGCAGACACTTGGGCTGAGCAGCGAACAAATGCAGCAGCTGGCCCTTGCGCTGGGGATGGACAGAGTGGGAGATGATGATAGCCATGGCTCTCATTATGGTGGTGGTGCACGACTGCAGATGCCTCTGCTGCTGAGAGAGAAGATGCAGTTGTCGGAGGAGGAGAGGGCCTTGGTGAGGACACAGATTATGTCGTCGACAGGACGTAGGTGAAGGGGCGTAAGTAGCCAGCACCCAGTCTGGATATATCTGGCAATAAGAGCACGGCCCACATCCAAAGGAGGGGTAGTTTGTCTATGTTCGCTGCCACAGCCCGCCGAGTCTAATGTGCGCGAGAAAGCGTGCGTGAGAGTGTCCAGCAGACAAGCATGCTGGTGGATGTCATCAATGGCCAAAAAGAGGGCTCTCCTCCCCTCTGTTCTGCTCAGTCCCTTGCCTTTCCTTGGATAAATATGCCCTTCAATCCCCTAATCCAGCCTCTTTTTTCCCTTTTCTCACCTCGTTGTACATCCGCCTCCGCCATCACCACCACCTCCTCCTTGCATCTCATTCCCCTCTTCCACCTGCTTGACTCTGCTCCAACGACAACTCTACCTTACTTTACTTTGCTTTACTCTGTTTCTACTCCTCTTGTGTCCTCGTACACATCCTTGACAAAGAACAATTGCAACAATAACATCCCCTCCGATGATGTCTGCCGCTATCGCCCCGCACTCAGGCGCTGCAGGCACAGAGGTAACCCCCATGGGCCAACCGGCGCCGGAGGAGGTCTCTACCCGCATGAGACTCCAAATCTCAAGAGCAACGAACCTGGCCGTCAAGGATCTGGTACATATGGAAGGCATCCTCAACGGATGTGTGGTTGTTGAGAAGTGTACATTTGGGCGCTCATTACTAAATATATTTATTCGTCTCCCGTAGAATGGCTTCTCGGACCCGTATGTCAAGGTCTCGATCGGTGGCCACAACTTCACCACAAAGTTCGTTCCTAAGAGCCTGAATCCAGTTTGGAATGCCCACTTTGACTTCGAGCTCGAGACCCAATCGGTACCGGACCAGGTCACCCTCATGTTTTGGGACAAGGACTGGATTAGCAAGGACGACTTCATGGGCACCGTCAGCATCCCCTTTGACGAATCCTCGATCTGGTCTGATGCTATCCCAAAGCACTTTGATGACCCAGACAACCAGGTAACAATTATGTGATATTGCGCGCATTAATACGGCCTGATGAACTCGCAATGCAATGCTGTCCATCTCTCTCTTTATTACCGCCTCCCCTTACTCGGGTGAATACACAAACAAACAAACAAAAAATGATTGACCAAGAATCACAGAGGATATGTGTTGTTGTGTGGGGTGTCAATGGCGGTGTTCGGTGTTGCTCCATGCTACGGGACGACGATGGTCCGAAAAAAAAAAAAAAAAAAAAAAAAAAGAGGAGCCCGCTGGCTGTCTGCCAACCATGACAGTCAGCAAGCGGACTGATGCGACAAAGGCTGTGCTAGTCTACCCATGGACGGACGTCATCATTGCTAGATCGCACCAGCATTATAGCCACCCTTCCCTTGCTTTTCCCTGCGTTGGTCTAACGTCTTTTGGACGCGCTCCATTGCCTATTGCCTAGTCCAAGTGGTTCCAGCTTACTACCCTCCCAGGAAAGTCGTCGAAGGTCAGCGGCGAAGGTATGTTCGCCCTTCTACACTGCCTTGCCTTATCGTCTTTTTGTGCAACGGCGGATTGACTATCTACGTGCATCTGATTTGATATCACTTCGCCCTGGATAGTCGAGGTCAAGTTTGGATTCCTAGACTCTGCCCTATCACCTATCTATGGAGACTCGCGAAAAGAGTGCCAGAAAATCTGGACCACGCTCTTGAGCGGACGGAATCAGCTGGGTCTAGGCCAGCGACAGTACCGCAGCTCCGACAACAAGACCATTTCCATGGCAGACATCCCCTTGGCTGTCAGCGAAAATGACCCTTCACTCGGAAACAACACATCTCGCCAGGACCAATCCTCACCTACTTCGACATCCTCGACTAACGACCTGCACGGCATCGTCTTTATGGAGATTGTGAACGCCGCCCATCTGCCGCGGCTACGCAATGTCACTAGGACGGGCTTTGACATGGACCCCTTCGTCGTCATCTCCTTTGGAAAGTACATCTTCCGAACCAGGGTGGTACGCCACAGTCTCAATCCTGTGTGGAATGCCAAGCTCATGTTCAGAGTCCACCATGGCGAGGAGAACTTTAGCGTCAAGTTCTCTCTGCACGACTGGGATAAATTCAGTGGAAACGACCATGTCGGCGCTGCCATACTGCCTATCAACAGCCTTATCCAGGCGGCTAATGAACAAGAAGAAGCCCCGGTTTACCCGTCAGATCCCTTGGCCGACGGTGCAGATCCAGATATGAGGGAACATTATCTCAATATTGTCCTTGATAGTAACATTAAGATTGCCACAATGGACCCGCACCTATGCATTCGCGCAAAATTTGTCCCCTATACAACCCTAAGACGGCGCTTCTGGCTCAGTCTCGCAAAGGCCTACAACGCTGACAACGAACGTGGTCGTTACAGTAAGGTCCTAATTCAGACGATGCTCGAGGGACTTGGCTCGACTCTCTCCAGCAAGACCATCGACAGCTTCTTTGCGCCTTTCAACAAAAATCCAGAGAAGGACGAGTTGACGTTTGACGAGTTGTTTGAAAGACTGGAGCGACAAGTTAAGCTGGACGATCGTGCAACGGCCCCTGCTCCAGAACCGGTCTCTCTGAAGAAGTGGTTTAGACGGTCCCGTTCCACCAATCCTTTGGATACCAGCTCAAAGGATGATCAGGAGGGAGGGGAAGAGGACCAGGAGGACGCAGAACTGTACCGGGACCTCACCCGCAGCCAGGCCCCACGCGAGTCGAGTCCTCAGGCCGCAGACATGGTCGAGCCCACAGAAGCCGATTTTGATCCGCAAAGTTCAGAAGGGGAACATGTCATCCGCATATCGACGTGCCCTATCTGCCACGATGCCGGCCTTGGCCACAAATTGGAGACGGACGTCATCACTCATATTGCTGTCTGCTCAGGCAACGATGGCTTCAACATGGACAAGCTGATTCTAGGTAACTTTGTGACCGAGGCGAATGCTCAGCGCAAATGGATCACCAAAGTAGTCAAGAGTCTGGGCTATGGCCGATATGTCGTTGGCAAGGTAAGGAGTGAGCCAGATTTGACTATATTTTAGTCCGAATACTGCAGAGACGCTCCACTTTTCTGACCTTCCCTTCTCACCTTTTCTTTTCTTTTTTTTTTTTAATGAACAGAGCAACGCAAACATTATTGTCCAGGACCGTGCAACGGGAGCCATGTTGGAGGAAAAGATGCCAACATTTGTTCGCCTCGGAATCCGTTTGCTCTACAAGAGTCATGCGAACAAGATAGGCGTAGGCAAGATTCTAGCGGACATGTCCAGGAAGCAGGGTCTTAAGTTTGATGATCCACGGTCGAAACGCGACATCGAGCCATTTATCCGGTTCCATAATCTCGAAGCGCAGATGATGGAGGTCCTGGAGCCTGTCCAGAACTTCAAGAACTTTAACGAGTTCTTTTATCGCAAACTCAAGGCCAGTGCACGCACATTGGCCTCACCGGGAGATGATCGAGTTGCTGTCAGTGTGGCCGACTGCCGGATGACATGCTTCCAGACGATCTCGGACGCACAAAAGTTCTGGATCAAGGGACGGCAGTTTACAATTGCCAAGATGCTTGCGGACGAAGAATTGGCCAAGAAGTACGTGGGCGGTAGTCTGGCCATCTTCCGTCTCGCACCTCAGGACTACCATAGGCAAGTTAATCGGAAGGAACACCGGTCTTTTTGCTGATATATAAGCACATTCAACCCTTCCACTAACAGAGCATCATGTTCGTTCTATTCTTAAACAATAGATATCACATTCCCGTCAAGGGCGTTCTCTCAGAATCTAGAGAGATTGTAGGAGAGTACTACACCGTGAACCCGATGGCTATCCGCAGCCAGTTGGATGTCTATGGCGAGAACAAGCGTACGATCTCCACAATCGAGTCTAAGGAATTTGGCACGGTCGCATATGTGGCGATCGGCGCTATGATGGTCGGCTCGATCATATTGACAACTAAGGGCGGACAAGCCGTCGAGCGGATGGATGAGCACGGCTACTTTGCCTTTGGTGGCTCCACTGTCGTTGTTCTCTTTGAGCCAAACTCGATTCATTTTGACGAGGATCTGCTGCGATCGTCCAAGGAGCAAATTGAGATGCTCGTCAAGGTCGGCATGCGTGTCGGTGTTTCCACCAGAGCGTAGAGAGGAAGCAAGGGCATAATACCTTGTATGCTGTAAATAAACATCGCAAATAAGCATAGCGTAGCAACAGCGATGCGCATGCGTGCATGCATGGTAATGAACTTTAACAGATTGTTTATTGCTTGCAAAAAAAAAAAAAAGACTATATAACAATGAAATATAAACAGGCGCAAGCCAAATGAGTAGATACAAGAAAAAAGGAAATGGAGGGGTTGCCTTCGAGAGGATGATTAAGATGCTTGCTTATTCGAGCTTCTTATCCGACTTCTTCATGAGTCCCTTGTCCTTGGCGAACTGCTCAGCCTTAGTGTAGACGGAAGACCACTGCTCCTGAGCAACCTGGCGTCCTTTACCGACATGCTGTTGAACGAGGTTGTTGGTCTTGGCGACATTGGCATCAATCAAGGACTGGTTGTCGAGGTAAATGCGGGGTGCCGCAAAGAGCGAAATAATGATCATGGACAAGAGAGTGGTGGTCGAGAACCAGCTGCGGAGGGTCCAGATAGCGTAGAAGATACCAATGAACTAATATGACACCGCATGAACAATGTATATCGTTTTAGTACAATGATCATAACGAGAGAGAAAGAACATACCATGCCATGCCATGTATATATCTCCTATCGAGGAATAGAATAAAGTACCTTCAGACTGCGTTTGTTGTTCTCAATCAAAACAACCTTGGCGAGCTCGGTGAGGATGGCATTCAGACTGTCAGTGACATAGTCGACACGGCGGTGGACGTTGTCCGAGTCCAAGTGCAAGAATTCTGCCGAGCGCGAGTAATACCTCCTAAAATTTGATTACAACACGTTGGGCTCGGTGAGTAAAAGACGGTAGGCTTACAGACATGACGGAAAACAGGGTCCCAATAAAAGACGAGATCTTCTTCGCGCTTACTCTAATGGGCGAGGAGTGTTGGCCTTGTTGGTGACACGGTTGAAGACCAACAGACCGTTGACATAGACAAAGGCGCCTGCGATACCGAAGACAAAGAGGGCGCAGACGACGTTCAGGAGCGAGACCCAGCGGCAGGTGAGCACCAGGCCGAGCGCGGACGCGAGTACGGCGCCCGAGACTGCGGGCTTCTCCCAGAGGACGAGGCTCTTGAGACGGGGGGTCATGTATCCATAGGGACCTAAACAGCGATGGACAGCAGAGGAAACAGACAGTATTAGCACTGTTCTTATTTTTCGGGGGAGGGGGGGTTTTTTGCACGCGACTGAAAGGGGAATCCATTCATATCCATGTGAATCTCTTAGTTGGTTGGCTGATGGGGAGTTTTTTTTTATCTTTGCTATCAGAAGTATCGTCATCACCACTTATTGTGACATAAGCGGATCCATTGACGGGACTGCAGTAGGAAAAGAAAAAGAAAGTGTTGTACAACCGCGGGATAGTTCTGCAACCGATAAGAAATATGGAAAAAGAGCCAACAATTCCAAGGCGAGGAAACACAAGGATACAATGATAGTAGCCCAGGCCTCCCAGCCCAATGCCCGTTAAAAAAGTACGAGACAATCGCACCGCGAATTGGCCAGGGTTCTCTTTGCTCCCGCAGACAGTCTCCTTTGCACACAAACACACATGGCGACGTTCCCCAAGCATTGCAACAAAGACGTAAAAAAAAACGAAAGAAGGCGGTGTAGTGCAATACCTGCAGCGCCGAGGGAGTCAGTCTTGGGCTTTTCTACGGTCTCGGAGGAGCTGCGTTCGCGACGGATCAGGGCAGGGTCGATGGAGGACACAGGGAGGTTCTCGGTGAGGGTGATGTGGGTCTGCTGCTGGATGGTGTCCGAGAGGAGAGGGTCGGCCTTAAGGTAGTCGGTGTGGATGTTGTCGTGTTGGTCCATGGCTGTGGGCTGGTGTGCTGTTGGTAGTGGTTGGGTGGTGGTCCGGTCGAGGAGAGAGAGATATGAATGATGGGAGAGCGGGAAAGGAAGAGAAGAGGAGAGGAAGCCGAGGATGGTGTTTATATGGGTCCTCGCAGGCGGCCCTGCTAATCGGATGCCTTGCATTACAACACCCTGAGTCCATATGAGAACAGAGCTAGCCTTCGCCTCATGATGATGACAGCGATTTTGATTTCGATTTCGATTACAACCTACAGTTTACAACCGCAGGGTACTATCCTGTCTCCCCTCACCCCGGTCATCCCTCTGTCCATCCTACTCGTCGTCCTCCGTTGTTCGTGTGGTAGTCTCGCAGTGTTGTGGTGTCGAGGTGCTGCATGCATGTCTCTGAACCACCTTGCATCCGCGGCAAGGAGACCCGTGAGAGAAATCAACCCTTTCGCCTCTTCCACCGATCATGCAAGGGGCAGTGCATCGTGTATGCAGACAGGCAATAGCAACAGCGGTCAGTGCCCTCGAGTACCAGACGACAGGAGGGCAAGTAAACACCAAGTCGGCTGAGATTGCGGGAAATGAGGTTGTACAGGTCAAGGGCCGATGCGCAACAGACGATACATGAAAAGCAATAACCGATTGTAAACGCGCCCTTGATAACGAGCCCTCACGGTGCGCATAGTACAGTGTCAACATGTACCAAAAGGAGAGCTCAACAGATACCCGTTCCATGGCGCTATGCTACCGTGGACGCAAAATGAATGAGAAGAGGATCACGATAGTGCGAAAACTGCTGCGAAAACTGCTGTGAATGAGCATTGCATTGGGCCTCATGGCTCGTGCACCTTCCATCTAGAAGCTTATCGTGTGCCCAACATCATGATCCTATATAGAGGCAAGAGCCCTGAATAAATGACTCAAGCACGGCTTCATAAAAAAAAAACTACAAGCGTGTATTGTGGATTTTATTGAACGTTTAGATGAATCCAATCTTGTTGGCGACGTCAAGGGCATCGACATCGGCGGTCAGCTTGATGTAGGCCTTCTTGTTGCCGTCAGGGCTATCATACATGATGCAGAAAAAGAAAAGGAAAAAGAAAAAAAAAAACTCGGACGTGTTAATGACACAGAGCAGAGACATGGCACAACCTGAGTGATATCGTGTATCTGTCGTCCGTATGGCGCGAGTGGATGTAGTAAAAGATTGACTGCCGCATAAGAAAATACACCCTTATCCGTGAACGCCCTGCTTTGAGATCTTGTGGAGTGATCCCTTGTCATTAATGTCGAACTTGATGCTGCAAATAAAATATCTGCTGGTCGTTCAATGCGTTCAATGCTCGTTTTTTTTTCTTTTGGAGCAGCCACTCCTTGACAACATAACCGCTACCACCACCACCACCGCTGCTGGACAACTCTATGGGGCAACGTGCTCGTCAAGACTCGATCTTGCTCCACTATATCCTACAAAATGTTCTGGAGAACGTCCCGCAAAATGTCCTGAAGAACGCCCTCCAAGGTGTCTCCAAATATGAACCGATAATTCAGGTCTGAGGCGAGAGAAAGAGTGAGAGATAACTGTAGAAAGCACACTTTACCGAATGAGGGTGTTGACCTTGAGAGCGGTAACGTCGTACATCTTCTTCAAGGCATCCTTGATCTGACGCTTGTTCGACTTGACGTCAACGAGAAAAACGAGGGTGTTGTTCTCCTCAATCTTCTTCATAGCCGACTCCGTGTTGAGGGGAGTCTTCAAGACCTTGTACTGGTCCAGACGAGGGACGTGGGGGATAGACTTGCGCGCATACTTGGGGCTGCGGGCAAGCTTCAGGGTCTTGGGACGGTTGAAAGTGGTCGAGGTGCGGATCTTGCGGGCCTTCTGACCGTTGACACCCTTCAAGGCAGCCTTTTTGGCGGCGAGGGCCTTGTTCTTATCCGATGGCACGGCTAGTGGCGAAGAAAAAGTCGAAAGATCGCAGATACCAAAAGGACCTTGGTCAGTCGCCTGTGATGTGATATACATGTCAGTTAACACCTGCTTGTCCTGCAATACGCGATCCTGAGGAGCTGAGTCTTCCTGGCATATCCCGTAAACGTTATTGTATGCTATATCCTGTCTGACCGCAAAGCTGACTACCCTAAACCGGGTCCCACATAGCATCTCCAAAGAAAAAGAAAAAAGGACTGGCAGATGTCTGTTTTCGTATGACATTCTTCTGAAAAAAGAAAAGATCTGGTGTCTCCTGTTGAATCAGCGCTCCTGGTCGCACTCTGGAAGTTGACAACGGCCATTAAAGCCGCCCTCCTGCATAATAGCTGTTTCAATTGCTGCTGTTTGCTGTGCTATGTATATGCGGTCTCCCGGTTGTTTGAATGACAGCAAGCTCCAAGAAAGATGTCCGCGGTGATGGTTAAAAGTGTTTGAGCAGAAGCAAAAGGATGAACTGTCGAGATAGGTCCAGCAAGGCGGATGCAAACAGTCCGTGAGTGGATGAGTCGATGAGTTGATAGATCGATGGGATCAATGGATTGATGGATCCGCCTGTCCCTGTGCTGATGGATGTGTCCCTGCCCGGTCCCTCTGCGCACCTTTCGTCATTTCAGAATCGATTATTGAGGCAAGAGAGAAAGTCGCACCCATTTCCAAGAATACGCGAACCATATTTCCTACAGTGCGACGGGGGATAAAACACGTACATTGGAGTGTGTACGTGCGTTTCCTTTTTCCCTCTCATCTCACATCGCACTCTCTTCATCAATCGCCGCTCACTTCATCAAAGCAGCAAGCATGTCGCTCATCAATCGCCCCAACCCCGTCCCTCACCTTCAGCGTCTCTACCAGGTACGAAGAGACCGCTATGACTTCCTGCGAGGATCAGCGCACTATGGCAGGCTGCGACAGCTGGACCCTCAACAACTATGATCCGATCTGGAATCCTGAAGGACAAGGACAACGACAGGAGCAAGAACAAGGACATGAGCACGGACATGGACAAGGATGAGGGTCAGAGCAGCACTTGAAATTGACGCAGTGGATAACAACCAGACAGGATCCAGGACAAACTAAGCGTCGCCATAACTGCCTTTTCCCTTGCCGCTGACTCTGTTGCCAATATTTTCGCTATATGGTGACATTGTGATATAATAGACCAATACCCATGTCCCAATTTACCTCAAGAAGGGCGGAGACAAGTTCGTGATGACCGCCTTTGTCGGATTGATGGCTGTTGGTCTTACTGGAAGCTTGTACGGAGCCACAAAAATGGCTAGAGTAAGGATCGTGTAGCATGAATGTTCCTGTTGTTGGAATTATTTTTTGGGCATCCCTTACTCATGGCCCCTCTGTGCACTCGTTTCTATCGAACTACGGCATAATAGGGAGTCAAGAACTAGAAACACTCCTCCAATTGAAGAACACAAATAAATGGACAATGTCTTTACTCGCGCATGTCCTAAAACAATTGACAACGGGAACAATACGCGTCATTAGCGCCTAGATTACTGCAGTACTTTGTATCTTTGACATGCTGCAAAGTCTACACTTTCAGCGTCATATTGTGTATGTAATAATGTTTAGACCGTAACACTTTATTTTATGCGTCGCCTTCAAGTATGCCGCTGATCTGCCACCTGCCACGGACCAAAGTAGGGCTCATCTTTGCGATGTTTACAGGCAAGCATGGCTGCGTGACAAATGCCCAATCTGACAAAATTATTTATCTCTCTCTCGGAGTCAGTTTATGGTGGCAATGGGGTATGAAGGCAACACGCTAATCTGGTCCTTTTCCTTTGCTGCTACTTTACTGCTACTTTGGCACCTGTTTAATTATAATGAAGGAGAAGTCTAGGTCTTGGCTCTAAGATGAACAAGTGAGTTCCCGATCCAGATCGAAAATGCTCTGAGGCACACAAAGCAGATTTACAGACGCGTTTTTTTTTTAATCCTTGTAGTTTAGCATTTACAAAAAAAAAACTCCACACAAGCATGTGCAAAGGAGTAAAGAGTGAAGCTTTTTTACGCTAGGGTGTGGAAATTGAGTCATAAACAGAAACCGAGCTTACACACTTACGCTTTGGTCATGAATGAAAAAGAAAGGATCGTCCCTCTACATCCTTAAAGGGACAAGGGTGAGGGATCTCAGGCTGTACATGTACGAGTGTATAGACTATGGAGCAACTGCGCTTTCACACTGGTCCCAGATCGTTTTTCTTGAGCTGTGATCGTGTCCTCATTTGGACATCTTTTGCAGACAAACCAGCGGGGAAAGTTGGCATTTCGGCGCCCCACTTTACCCCATCGCACTCTCCTTCTTTCACATCAAAACAACACACACGGCTCCCTTGTTGTGTTTCTTTGCCTTTTTCTTTTTCTGGTGTGCATGCAGCATGCACTTTTACAACCCAAACACTCATTTACTTTCACTCGCGCTTCTCACATATAAATATATAGGGTCTGCGGGCAATACCCTGGATCCTCTTCCTCTTTTTTTGTCACCCATCCGCAACCTTAAACTGAACAAGAGTCAAGGCGAATTCTTTCCCGCACACATACGGACACAAAGGCCATTCGGCACACCCTCTTGTACCTTACCCGGACACAACTACGCCCATACACTCCATTCTATACAGGATTCTCAGGCATAATCATGTATGATGACCTTGGCCTTCTTTTAATTCATTGTCCCTTGTCCCCTGCTCCTCCCTTGCTCTACCTACTGCCTACATTCGGATAAAACTTTTTTTTTTTGTGCGTGCGTGTATTACGTGGGTAGGGGTATCTATGATGGAGACGACGCAAAAAAAAAAAAAAAAAAAAAGACAATAACAACAACCTCGGCGAGCTGCATGTGGCAGACCGCAACAACAACAACATACAAATACACAGGGGTACGGATACATGCTCAATGTATGTACCATGTGCGGCAAGCACACTGGACTAAGATCCACGCGAAAAATGGGTCAGTCTGACTGACGCAGTGTCTCCTTGTCGTTGTCTGACTTGGTCAACTGCCCCCGCACTTTGTGATCCTGTTATTTCTGTTTTTTAAGACTACCAGACGAGGGCATGAACAGGGGGGCACGGGCAGGGAGGGAGACAGCGCAGGGGCGGAATCAGAATGCACCCTGAGTGCTAATGATGTGTCAACCTTTGTGAGCCAGTCTGCCACCAGTTGTAAGAAACAGAAGAGCAGAGCACAGAGCACCGAGGATCGGAACCAAGTGCTCAGCTTTGTCCGTTTGAACTCAACCCCGGCTCATTGACGGTGGCCATGGTTGTCGCTGTGGTTATCCAGGCCGTTGGGGTGCGGTAGTCTAGTATCTCCTAGTCTACATGTACATGTAATTCGAGTGCCGATCATCGCCCCCCTCTCTCCTTCCTTTTGGCGCCCGACCTGCTCTCGAATAAGGTGTTGCATAGGCATGCATGCATTTGGATGATTTGCCCGTTGGAAGAGGCGGAAAAAATAAAATAAGATAAACGAAAGAGGTGTTAGGCTTCAAAGGATAGCGGCACTAGGAACGACTGCTCAACTAGTGGACATTAAGACATGGTGCTGACCAGACTTCTTTCGCTCTTTACTCTTCCGTCTTCGTCTTCTTCATCTTCCACCTCTTCTTACTTGTCCTCCACTCCCTCTATTCTATTATTTTCTTCAACCTCCATCTCTCCTCCGTCCTCCTACCCTTTCTCTCTCTTTCTCCTCCCCCTTTCTCTTCCCTTCACACCAGTCAATGACTGTCTCGCCGTTTGCCCTCCAGTCCTCACACACACCCATCCCCAAGGGATCAACGGCCCCAGGGAGGACCGACACTGTATCGAATGTCCATGCCAACAACACCTGCAAAGACCAGCCGCCGACCCCCTCCACATCCTCCATACCGCTCTACACCCCGATCTGGGACTATGACCGCTTCCCAGTCGGGCCCTGTCTCCAAGGTCGCAGGTCGCACGAGCAGCAGAACCCCTTTTACATCGACTATACCCAGCATCATCGGCCTCAGGCAAACATCTCCAGCTCAGACATGATCCGTTCACATTCCTCGTCCTCCTCTTCCTCAACCTCGTCCTCGACCGCTTCTCCCCCCTTCCTCTCGGACACGGGCTCCAGTCGGCACCATCGCCATGCCAGCAGCCACAGACACAGCAGCAGCAGGCGAACCAGCTGCTTTGGAACGGATCACGATAGCAACCTCTTGGGCACCTCCTTAGTCACCCCCCACACAAACGTTGTCTCTCCTCTGAATGCTGCAGATGCACATGCACTTGCTGCAGATGCCTCCTTCTCCACCGCACCTCAACAACAGCTGGCAACAATCAGCAAATTCGACCAGTACAAGGCCCAGATGGAGCGCCTTCGATCCATCCGGACGCCGTCATCATCATCGTCTGTGTCACCTAGCCCGTTATCATCATCCACACCATCCCCTGTAACAGAATCATCGTCAGGGGCAGGGCCACATTTATCGCCTAGCGCCAAGAAAAGCCCCGGTTTCATCCCGAAACTGTTCAAAAAGGCCTCGCTCTCCAAAAAGTCGTCCCGGGATCGACAGCCACAGCCACAGCCACAGCCACAGCCATCGTCGACACCGGAAACGCGTCGGGCCGATAGTGCGACCGAACCTTTGTTCTCCCCCAACGCAAACCCAAGCTCTTCACAATTCTCGCTGGTCAATGAAAAACCTGGCGAGGTTTTCCAGGCTCAATCATCCATACCCCATATCCAACCTCGGCAGCGGCCACAAAGACGGTTCCGCTCTCGATCCAATCCAGAAAAGAACAACGCCCTCGCAGAGGGGTCGGAAGCGATCGAATCCTACAAAAGTGCACCCTTTTCAGCAACGACTGATCAACGGTCCCCACTCGAAGAGCAGCAAGACCGCTGGCGTGATGAATGGCTCCGACCCTCAGGTGCGATCCATTCCAAGTTCCGGGACCGACCCTCCAAGTTCAACTGTCCCCACTGTGGAGCGATCAAGGTCGTGTCCCATATTCAGTTCGTGCCCGGTGTCATGTCCTACTTGGTCGCCTTCGGACTCTTGTTTCTCACCCTCGGAACACTATCGTACCTGCCCTTCCGCAAGGATCATGAGGAAACCAAGGATTGCATCCATTGGTGTCCTGAATGTGGACAGAGAGTTGCCAGATTCAATCGTGCGAATGCCACCTGGGAGTGGATTTGAACCCCACCTTCGTTTTCTTATTTTTTTTTTTGCACCTCTCTTTTTTCGCATATCAGCATAGTCTTTCTATTATATTATTACTCCTCTAGCATAATCATTCTCCACCAAATTGTACCATCAGATTCGATAATAAAACATTCTTCATCAAAACAAGTGCTCATCAGGGGCGAGAGGCATAATACATTCTTGTCTGCTTCCGTTTCAAGAAAGGGAGGCGAAGTTCACGTTCTTGTACTTTTATTTTCATTTTCATTTTGGCGACAAATGACGGCGACAATCCATTGTAAAATCACACAAAAGACCTCTGGTTTTTTTTAATAGAAACTTTTTTTTTAGTCTTCTGGTTTACGTGGCAATGAATATGAATGTGAATAATAAAAAAGAAGTGAAACAGGTAACGAAGAAAGAACAAGCAAGAAAGCAAAAAAAAGAAAAAAGAAAAGAAAAGAAAAAAGAAAAATAAATAAATGCTAAAGTAAAAGAACAGACAAATAGGGGGAGAAAGAAAAAAAAAGAAAGGGAATTAAATAGTACGGATGGATGCCAAGAAAGCAATTGATTTTTTGTTGGCATAAAAACGCCATTGACAATTTGTCGGAAAGAAAGGTAGCAGCATGTAGAGACAGGAAAACGCTTATTCAGCCGCACGTAGAAAAGGGAAGCAGAGGATAAACGAAAATTAAAGAAAAGAACGACAGATAACGAAGCAAGAAACAAAAGCAGTTGGGTTGTCTGAGACAGCAGAGAAGATACAAGTGGCGGCACAACAGCATGATCGCCAAAGAAGAAGTCGAGGAAGAAAAGAAGAAAACGAACATGAAACAAGAGAAACGGGCGAGAGATAGATGGCTAAAAGAGATGGGAACAGGAGAGCCGACGACGATAAGACGCTGTGAGTCCTGGGATCCAAACGGGGTCTGCTGTCGTGGTCATCATCATCAGGCTATCTCCATCGGACTCCCAGCCCTATCGACGCCTCGCAAAGACCAATCTCCCTCCCATTCGCCTCGCCGCCTCTTGGAATCAGGCTCGTGTAAGAGAAGGCCCGCGTCCGCATCCATTGGATGGGCCGAGGTCGTCGTTATGACATTAGCACTTCCAAGCCCATTGACCGGCATGGTCCCCCATGGAGATTCCATTTGGCCGTTCTGATATGCGGAACGCAGTGTGGATCCGCTGCCATTCATGTCGTGTTCTGTCTCCATCCACGATCTCTTGCTGCTCAAAGTCCTCTCAACGTATGGTCGGACAGATACTTGGTCTCGTGTCTGATCCACATATTGATGCTGTTGTGCATTCGACTGGTATGATTGCTGCTGCTGCTGCTGCTGTTGCTGTTGTTGTTGTTGCTGTCGTTCTTGTTGTTGATGTGGTTGGTCGTGATGGTGGTAATGTTGCTGAAGTTGTTGTTCCTGTTCTAGGGGCCATGGTTGAGATTGAGAAGGCTGGTATTCATGGGGTATGCTGCTTTTGTCGCCAATCTTTCCGGCATCATATCAAAAGTTGGCAAACAACGACCTGTAAGGGTCACCCTGAGTCGTGTCGTCGTCCGTCACCTCGGGATACTTTTCAAAGTTGCCAGTGTCACCAGGATGGATGTACGGTGGTACGATCGGCGCGGTTACGGTCCTGTCCAAAAGTCCCTGCCAGTCGACGCCTCGGAACCATTTATGATTCTTGATGTCATCAGAACCATCCTAAAGACAACCGATTCGTCAAATGGAGCATTCGTGTCAATAACGGAACCCTACGGTGACCAAACCTTTTGCTTCTCCATAATAAAAGTTTGTAACTGGATCCTCACCTTCAAGTTGCCCAATCTTTTCGTCCGATCGGCTGTCAACAATTTCTTGATCAGATCCTTAGCTGTCGAATCGATATGTGCCGGGAAATAGATACGTCCAGCAAGAATCTTTTCGTAGATGCCAAAAGGGTTATCGTCAAAGAAAGGCGGGTACCCCGCAAGCATCTCAAAGATCAGAATGCCCAGAGCCCACCAATCGACAGCCTTTCCGTGTCCTTTTGACTGGATGATCTCCGGTGCAAGATATTCAGGTGTTCCACATAGCGTCCAGGTTCTAGTGACAATCATTAAGATGCAAGATGTGGTTGATTAGTTATTTCAAGAACTGCTACAACATGCGCCGCCATGCAGGGTCTAGGCCCTCGGAGGAGTTACTTACCTGTCCTCGACTCTCTTTGCGAATCCGAAATCGGTAATCTTGACATGGCCCGTTGAGTCCAGGAGCAGGTTTTCTGGCTTCAGATCACGGTAGATAATGTCTCTTGAATGAAGGTACTCGATCGCGAGGACAATCTCTGCCGCATAGAATCGGGTCATATCGTTTGTAAACCTCCCTGCCTTTCGCAGATGTGAAAAGAGCTCTCCTCCGATGACATATTCGAGCAGCATGTACAGGTTGCGGTCGTCTTGGAATGTAGTGAATCTGGTATAGAAATGAAGCAGTAAATTTATCTTGGTCAGTAAGCACACGTGGAAATGTGTTGTGTGCAGTTTGACAACATTGCTGCTTCCACTTACAGGTTGACGATGAAAGGAAAGTGGACTTGAGAGAGGATCTGCTTTTCAGAGTTGATGTGCTCGACCTGCTTCAGCCTTACGACCTCCGTCTTCTTGAGCACCTTCATGGCATAGAAGGAGTGATCGTGGCGAAACTTTGTCAAATATACACGTCCAAACGTTCCAGTGCCTAGACAAGCAGCAAAGTGGAGATCATGCGCATTATTGTTAGGCTGCGTTCCAAGCTGTTTGTTTCTTAATGATTAGCTCCCAGGCTAATTCGTCCAGTGTTAATTAGTAATGAATATCTCTTGGTGCTTTCCTTGAAATCCCTGTCATCCTGGGTACCGAATCGGGGCCGGTGTATATAAATATTTTTGTCAATTATAGTTCGCTCCAGACGACGACATCCATTTGTCGCCCTGCAATTTCCCCCTGTGCCCTTTGTCCAATAGGAGTGCGTCTCTCAAGAAAGAGCTCTCTCTCTACCCTCTCGCTCTTTTTTCCTTCCGTCCCACAGAAACTCGTGTGGCCCCATCATTCATCGCTTGCTTGCTGTCATCAGTATCGTTATGGCTGTGTAAGGCGTATTCATGCCCAAAATCTGCTGCTTCGGCAGCAAAGGGAGCCCACAGAGCATGAATGCGATCGGGATCCACAAAGTTCCTGCTTCAGTCCAGTACCGATGGTGTTTGGTGCTTGCAGAGTAGTCTCCCTGCGCATGGTATCGTTGATGGATGGCAACGATTCCAAGATATTGGGTCCGTTCATTATCGTTGTTGTTGTGTCCGGATTTCTCTATGGTGCTGCAACCATTGTCTGGTGATAGCTGCTTTGGCGCTCAATTGCTCAACTTGCATTTTGTTTTGCTCTAGTGCGGCTCTCAACATGAACACACACTCACACCTATACCCCAAGACCCATTCCTTCAGCACATGAATCCATGAATGTACTAGCAAACTTCGTTTTCTCTCTTCTTTCTTCTGCCCCTTCAGCAGCACTTTTTGCTTCCCTCGTTGCCCGTCCCTTGAGGAATATCATGCCCTGTTGCAGGTCCGATATCCTTCAATACTGTCCGATCCAAGAGGAGCTTTGAGCGGATTTTTTTCTCTCTCTCCTCAGTGTGATTGTTGAAGAAGCAAGACGATACAAGAAGAAATGGATCCTTACCAAGGGTCTCGAGCAACTCGAAGTCAGCAAGGCTATACTGTGGTCGGGCATCGTAGCATGGGCTGGCAGTGGGGATGATGAGTTGCCCCTGGGAGGTATAGTAGGGTTGGTTACCGTCGTTTGGAACGGGATCGTGTGGATGGGTGCTGGTCTGGTGAAGGTCCATTTGTTGCTGGTGCTGGAGCCTATACTTTTCCTGGAGTCGAAGCTGGTGCTCCTGGTACTGCTGGCTGCGCAAGGCGGCCTCGTCGAGCGGACTGAGGCTTGCTGTGGCCATTCCACCCGGCTCAAAGTTGCCGTGTCCGTTGCTCATTATTATTATTGATAGTAGTTATGAGTGCTGATGATGTCCTGATTTTCCAGCCGGGAACGGGAAGAAGCGAGAGAGAGAAAGAGGGAGGGAGAAGGAGTTATATTTTGCGGAGAAGAAATTAAAAAGAAAATGGAAAAAAGGCCTTTTCACTTGAAGGAACCGAAGCGTGGCGGGGAAAGGTGGGCGGATGCGATCGAATGAAGACTTGAGGATGGAAAGAAGGGAGGAGGGAGGAGGGAGGAGGGAGAGAAGAGTAAAGAAGGAAGCAGAGGAAGTAAAGGAAGGAGATGGAGCGCGAGGTAGCTAGAGTGTGATAAAATGTGAGAAAAAAAAAGGGTGTGAGGAAAACGAACAATTGGGAGTGAGAGAGGGAAGGAGAGGAGGAGAGCAGCGGTGGAGGAAGGAGAGAAAGGGTGGGGTTGGTGGAGGAGTTGCGGGGTGGGACGAGGTTGATGGTGATGAAGAGAAAAGGGCACACAGATTAGTCACCAGAAAAGCGGATTGAGGTGTATGAGTGTGTGAAGGTGAGTACAACAACAATATCATTCCAAGGCAGCCCCAGAGTGGAGAGAGAGAGGGAGGCCGAGGACTGGTGAATGGAGAGTGGGGAGTGCGGAATGCTGCTGACGATGAAAGATGATGATGATGAGGGCGATGATCCGACGCGGTTCATACAATACAATACGACAATATGTTGAAACAAGGAGGGATTGCGAAAGAGAGGCGGGTGGGGAGTGGGAGTGAGGAGGAGGGGTGAGGGGTGGGGGGTGGTCGTACCGGGTCGGGCTCTGCTGAGATTAGGATGAAGAAGAAGGAGGAGGGATGATCGCTTTGTTCTTTGATGAAAGAGGGAGGAATGAAGCTGGTGATCGTTGTGTGTCGGAGGAGAAGGACTTTTTTTTTTTTTTTTTTTTCAGGCACAAACAACAGTTTTCACACTATCCACTTTGGAGTGCGGTGTCAGGGCGTGTTCCTGTGCCTGAACACCACACACACACACACACACACACCCCTCCTCAGACGGGCGTGGCACGCGTCCGGTCAGGTCAGGTCAGTCAATTCCTTCGTTCTGTGTGCCTAGTCTTGTCTTTGCAGTTGCTGCTGGTTGAAGCTGCTCTTGTTTGTTTGTCTGTCTGTCTGTCTGCCTGTTTGCTTGTTTGTTTGTTGTTCCGCATTTTGTTGTGCTACTTCATGCACGATGATGTTCCATCCGCGTACAACATGCATGTAGTCTACAAAACAGCGCTCCTACGAAAGAGCCAAAGAGAAAGAAAGAAGAAAAGAAAGACGCGTCTTGGAGTACCGTCGCGGTGTTGTGTATACACATGCCCACTTGAACTCCCTGCATACGCTTCCATGGTTGTGTATCTCCCTCCCCCGTGTAGATTGCAGACTACGGACTATAGGACGACAGGACTATCACACCAAAGGAAAGGAGAGCAGTTGGTGGCAAACAAAAAGGAGGGTGGGAGAGTATAGCTGTCTTTGTTTCCTTCCTCTACCTCTTTTATTGTTTTTCTCATCTCACACTGCACTCTTCACTCTACTCCTTTCCCCAATGGTCTCCTTTGCGCCGCTGCAATAACGAACAAGCATCCATCTCCACTTCAACCCCCCCCCATTTCGCACCACCGTAAATAGTAAAGCAGCGCCCATGCAACGAGTGCAGGAAATACACGGTCTGCACAGACGCAGGGGTTCGGCTCAGTCCTCACCCATATCAGACAGCCATCCATCCATGGGACACCAACAAGACCCCGCCTATTCACACATCTCCCACACCCTCGCCCCAACAGCTGTTCACTCTACAGCCATCGACATCGAGACTGACAACCACAACGATATCACCATCCACATCTACAAAGACCTCTGCAACGGTTCTCTCTCCTCTTCAACCACAGACACGAATACAACGTCGGAGACCAAGATGATTGGGAACCCACCGATCAATCAACACGACAACTCGAACCAGCCATCCCAGAACAAGTCTAGTCTTCCTCTAGCGCCTACTCTCTCGACAGAAACCACCCCTGCACATCCATACCCACACCCTTCGCCTTCGTCCTTAATATCCAAGCGACTCCAGCCGCTCGAAATCCTGCGAGGGATCACCATCGTCTTCATGGTCCTCGTGAACACCCAAGGAGCAGACCTCTCTCCACAACTGGCCCACAGTGAATGGTTCGGATACACCCTCACCAATTGGGTTTTCCCAAACTTCATCTTCATGGTCGGCATGGCCGTCGCCATCGTTCTCTCACCCACTAAATTAGCTTTAATCTCACAGCAGGACCACTCTGCAATTCCAACAGACACTCCAAAGCAAATGATCCCCTTCTGTAAACGGCACCGGACGCGCATCAAAATGAACCTCAGGATCCTAAAGAGAACCATCCTTCTCTTTGGTCTAGGCATCAACCTCTCTGCGCTCGAACTCATTGGCCTTCCAAAGGAAGCACTCTGGGTCCGTATCCCTGGTGTTCTGCAGCGAATTTCCCTGTGTTACTTTGTCCTTGCCACCTCGGTGCTCTGGGCTGCACTTTTGACGCCACCAAGAAGTCCGCCCTCACCAAGCATCCGGATCGGCCTGCCCGTCACCTGCACGGCTCTATGGTTCATCCTCGCCTACACTGTTCAGTCCACCGCCACAGAACCCATCGTCAGTTGTGATTACTCACCCGACGCTATTTCGCCTGATGACAATGTTCTTCCTGGGTATTCATCCTCTCGTAGCCAGCTCTCGCCTCAATGGTATACCGCTCAAGCGTTCCTCGACACAGTACTCTTCGCCAAAGATCGGAACGTGAACGTCCCCTTGTTTGATTCTGAAGGGTCCATCAGTACCTTGATGGCCGTGGTCACCGCATGGTTTGGATGGATGCTGGGTGCCGCAGTGATGAAGCAGCAACAGCAGCAAATGTGGAATGACGATAGGTCGCTGAAGACCCTGGTTCAGAAGATTGAGAAGGAAGGCCCGGCTGATGGACAACCAACCTTCGTTGAGGAATACGACTCTGGTGCGGGCGTCGATCCATTCATTACAAGTGAAACTCATCAACAGGCCATTGCTAACTACCGCATAACACCTCCGCAAAAAGGTTTTACTATCGATTGTTTGAGAAGCGCCGGTCCTCTTTGCTCGTCCATTTAGGCGAATGGTTCATGGCGGAAGTCTGGATAATGTTCTCAGACACCATCCTCGGTTGGGTTGTACCCATCTGCAAGGGCCTTTGGCCCCCCAGCTTCACCCTTTACTCTGCTGTGATGAGCATCAATGTTCTGTGCGTCCTCATCTACTTTTATGATCTTCCCTCTACCACACAATCACCACCTCCCCTCTCCAGAACGGGGAAGATCGCACAAATGACCGTGCAACTCAGGAGCTATGTGCGGAGTGGGCTCGTTTCCTTTGGATCTGCTACGGCCGAAACCCAACGCTAATCTACGTACTTTCGGAGGCCGTCAAACTTGTTCTCGACAAATTCATGTGAATGGTCCATTTGAATGGACCAAGATTGCGTGGTCGTATACCTTTTCTTCAGCTTTGTCACTTTCATGCCGCCGCCATGGTCAAGCCTAGTTTTTAGCCTGGTTTATGTCCTTTTGTTCGCGCCGCTCTTATGGTACCTCAACAGAAAGGGCATATACCTTAGGGTATAACAAAAACATCAGCTATCATTATTTATTTATTAAAATTGAGTATGGATAGATATAAAGGCATGGTTTGTAACGGTGTGCAAATGTACAGGAAGGCTGGAAGGCTGACTGCCGTTTAGATCTTAAAGTACCACTTCTTATAATCCAGAAAGATGGCCAAAAGAACGTGGAGGGCAGCAAAGCCCAAGGAATAGAATAGCGATCCCCATCCGCCAATATCGAGCGCGCCCCAGGTGTGGCTAAAGGCAGAAGTGCACAGGTCCCATGAATCGCCTGTGGCCGGGTCAGTGCCACCGGGAATGAGCGAGCACGTTCCCTGAACGAGTTCCGAGCACATGTACATCAGGATTGCATTGCGACCCATGCTGCCCAAGACCACAAGGATGGCCTTGCGGAACCAGTGACGGAGAAAATGGTCGACCTTGTAGTACATATTCAGAGCGCTCGAGTAGTTGGTTCTTGTTCTAGCAGGCACAGACACACCCTGCTCCGTGTCGCGATGGCGATAGTGGCGTGATAGCTGGTTGTTGGAACGGAAGCCTTGATGCTCCAGGTACACTTGCACCAGGCGCTTGGTCTTGGGCTGGGCATCAAACTTGTAAAAGAGGATGGAGAGGACTGTCTGGGAGACGCCAGCGGCCAGAACTGCATACGTTGCAGTCCAGCTGGGCTTGGAGAGAGGCAGACCCAAGCTGAAGACCCATCCTGTAAACATCCAGAGGATGCCCCACCAGAACCACTGGCTCAAGTGTTCGTTATAGATCCTGGTGATCATCTCCTGCTCGAGGACATCCTGCACCAGCGACTCCTGGTCCTCGGCATTGCCTCGTGCCTCGCGCCAGGCCTTAAAATCATTGGTTGTCTGCTTGACCTGAGCGTTGAGTGATCGGACCGTGCATCCAATGAACCATCCAAACCAGACGTTCAAGATTGAAGTCAGGGTCGAGAGAGAGCCCTCGGGATCAAAGTTCAGGTGGCGGTACGTGTGAGCCGTGCCAAAGACCTTGAGGTCAAAGTAGGCCTGAGGACTGCATGCGGGGTCACGGATCATGGCCCGCTCGGGGCAACCCTCGACCTGGACGGTATAGGTACAGATGAGCCAGATGAACAAGCACGAAGCGGGCAAGTAATATGGGAGGGTCACCCGCAAGAACCACGACCAGGCACCGCTATCGTTATGGTCTGACTCGGAGTCAGCCGTTTTACTGTCCTCGATATAATCCTTCTTGGCGTCTGCCTCAAAGCCGAGGGGGCGCGCTTGAGGTCCGTTGGTTTGTGGGTTGAACGAGTAGAGGTAGGAGGAAGACAATGGTTTCTCTGGGATTCTTCCGCGCGCAAGGACAAGGACGTGCATCCAGCCGACAATCAAGTAGCAGAAACCGATACGGTTTAGGACATTGGGCCAGCGGAACTTGTCGGCACCTACGTGGAGCTGAACCAGTCCATAGAGGTTGAGGACGACTCCCAGCAGCCAGATGATAACGGATCGCTTAAAGACTCGGAGGGCCTGGCTCCTATAATAGTGACTACCTGGTCCTGGATTGGGGTCCGCGCGCACTGACAGTGGCATGGTGCAACCGGTGATGAAAAGGAAGCTGGGGAAGACCGTGTCTTTTTTCGCAGAGCAGGTTTTTGAGTGTCGATTAGAATCATTTGTTATGGAGCGATACTGACAGCAAGAGCGCTAACATGCAAGGCAAATATGCCATTGGAGCATTACCTGCGATAGTGAAGCCAATCCATGCCGGGTGCTCTGTCAAGTACAAGAATGAATACATTTCAACATTAAGATACTTGCGCTTTCACCGGTGAAGAGAAAAGGCTAATACACTTACCAAGGATGAAAAAGACTGTGTCGCCAATTTGTGCATTGCATACAATCATGATAAGGATGGCGAGTCCTCGCAGCAAGTCCAGGGAGAGCAGGCGATTCTGCGAGAGTTGCAGACGTTGCTTGATGCCTGATTTTGACGAAGGCAGCGGAAGGGGCTCCTGAGGAGTTGGTGCCTCGGCGACAGAGAGCTCGGGGGCATTACCGGCAGTAGGGACAGATGAGAAGGTGGAGAGGTTGGTCAGCTCTGGACGCTCGTCCGTGGTCTTGGAAACGTGCTCCATTCCGAACGCGGGTATTCAAATATTCAAACAGGGATTAATGTAGCGAAGTATCAGCAATGGGCACCAAACAGCTGGCGGGGGAGGCGAGGAACGAGAGGAGTGTAGAAAGAGGAACCAGAGACAAAGAAGAAGGAAAAGGAAGGAAAGGAAGGAAAGAAAGAAAAGAAAGAGTGTGAGAAGAAAAAGTAGAACAGGGCCTCCGCCCTTGACCTGCAGCAAACCCTTCAGGGAACCGGTCCATCGCTTGCCTTGAAAAGAAGGGGGTGTGCCCAGTACGATCGGCTTATCCTCATCGGCCGGCTTCTTTATCGCATCGATGCAGACACGCACCCATAGTCTATCTTCTGTAGCATATGTAACGCATGAAGCAGAATCGTTTGTGGAATCGGCTTATCCATGGATCGTTATCGACCGATGCACGAGTGCTTTCTTTCTTTTCCTGTTTGTGCAGTGGACCGTATTGTAATACTGCATCCAGAAAAAAAGAAAAGGCACACGACTAAGAAGGTTTGTTATTCTTGCCCTGGCTAGCGTTATCAGCGCCAAAGATCGCGCTCGATCCCAGGCCAGGTGGACTCTAATTGGAACAAAGTATTTTTTGACCTTCTTTGCCTGGGAGAATTCTGTCCACTGAACTGCTGTGGGGATTGCTACGTGCGTAGTCGATGATCCACATACACTCCGGAGGGCGTACAATCAATCGATGGTTATTGTTTGTTTGTTTGTTTGTTTGTTCGCTTGCTTGCTTGTGTCTTTGTTTGTCCGTAATATGGAGTTAGTCTATCGCTCGTTTTGATATTCGTTTTTGGCGGCATGGGGGGAGGTTTCCTGCGCAGAGGGTTCTGTTGAGCACAATCAGTCCAACCATCGCAAATCGCCTGATGGACACAAGTTTTCTTTCTTTCTCAGGGTTTACAAAAAGGGCTCTTTTTTTGTGCTCGCTTATCCTTACAATGATCACGATTATGCATGCTACAGGGATAACTGGTGGGATTATAGTGCGTCAATAGCCTGTCAACACACAAAACAGTACTCATTAGCCATATTTCCACCGAAACGATAGCAGGAAATTGATAAATAAAGCATCTGCCATGGCACGCCACAAAGCTTAGGTAGCTCATGCTCCTTCTCGTAGTATTATGAAGAAGCAAGAAGCGTACGAGTATATATTAGAGATATCAAAGTAACAAAAGCGGAATCAGCAGCGAGAGCAGGCTATGGTCGCGAAGAGACTCAATGATTAGGACTAGGACTGCGGCACGAAAGTCTACCGTAGAAGGAGGGTCCGCACACGACTCAGTAGCTCGGCTGATGCTGGGATAGAATAGGAGAACGATCTTTAAATGACGTTGGTCACCTTCAGGACGATAAGAACGATGATGATCAGGAGGATGATGCTGATAATCAGGCAAATCCACTTCTTTCTTCTGGCCCCGCGGGCATTCGTAATGGCACTATCCACCTGCTGGTTACCAGACTCAAGGTTGGTGTCCGCCTGTTGCGTGTTTTGCTCAACCGAGTCCATAACCACCCCTTGATCTGTTACAAGCGTCTCCATATCGATAAAGAGTTGTTGTAGTTCCTATACGTATCACAAATAAAACAGAGTCAATAAAAAAGGGGATGGGGGGAATGTTCGAGTCGGTTGCGCGTTTCTGTTTGCACAATGGCGCGTAAATGGCGGACAAAGAAGTCGCGTCGAAACATACGAGGATGGTCTTTTCAATCTTCTTGATGTCGTCGTGCCGGGTTTGAACCTCGCGGAGCGCGCGGTTCGCGTCGCCGTAACGGGTACTTTGAAGAACCTATCCGCAAAGGAGACACGAAGAGCGGACGATATTATAATATTATATTGACGCGTTAATATTCCCCTACACCTGACCCGCAGAACATATGGAAAAGCAAACTAGTCCGCGCAGAGTTCACATACCGATTGAGCAAAGACCTGCTGGTTATCGCCCTCCAGGACCTGTGCAACTTCCGCCTGTGTTGCATCCGGCTTGACTAGCGTTGCCGATAAAGGTGCAAGCAATAAAGATGGAAAGTAGGAAGGATGTTGGGAAACTGGACACTGCTAATGGCGACGCCCTCAAACATCCAGGTGTACAGATTGAGATTCCTTACCAATCTTGTACTGTCTCTCCATGCGATTCTGGTACTTTTTACGCGCCTCGCTCTCTGCTGTCTGGTATCGACGAAGAGTCGTCAGGAACTTTTCCTTGAGTGCTTTGGCTTGCGTCCTGCGAATCTGAATGTCAGCAGAGCTGGCCAATCGCAAATTGGCAAGTTCAATATCTGGGTAGATAAAAAAAAAAGAAAAGAAAAAGAAATAGCCACATAATGTGTGCGCGATCAGAAACACATTCGAGTCCTAGCACTAATATGCACGGACAGCAGCATATACTGTCCAGTAAAAGCTAGCTGCATTAGCGTACGCACCTTTGATCCTCTTCTTGATCCTGTTGGACAGCTGGGTTGTATCCGCAGTAATGCCCTCCAACTGACGAGTGGTGCGTACGGCTTGATCCTCCGTCGACACACTGTTGAGCGAGATATCATGAAGTTCTTCAATCCGGGTGATGTTTTGCTCCAGTCGTGAGATGTCATCTTGAATCGAAGTGACCTAAAGGACGAAACGAATATCGACACGAGAGCGTAGAGTTGCGCAAGCAATTAATACAAAGCGCCAAATCAAGTTCGCATCCTGCAATTGAGCCATTACGGTTCGCTCTGGCATGTCACGGACAACAAGGCGAGGGGCCTACCTCGCTGAAAAATGCGTTCATATCATTGGAGGGAGAGGAGACAGAACCCATCTCAATACGTGTAGGTTGCGGGTACTGCTGTTGCGGTTGCGGTTGATACTGGGCTTGCTGCTGTTGAGCGAACTGTTGCTGCTGGCCGTACTGTTGTTGACCATACTGGTGTTGACCGTATTGCTGCTGCCCATACTGCTGCTGTCCATACTGCTGCTGCTGGGGTTGGTATTGTTGTTGGCCATATTGTCCATGGGGCTGTTGGCTATTTTGTTTGTTTGTTATTTAAGAGCATTCCATAATGATATCATCGACATCAGTACAGGAACACAAATAGCAGGTATTCAGCATTGGAAAGCATCATCACGCCACCATCCCAAGGACGAAACGGTTGTGATACCCTGTTGGAGATAGGATGTCGTGCCATAACCGGCTGCATGATTCTGACTTCCCCTGGCCTGGCCAGTTTTCCTTACTCTGCGTGAGAAAGAAAGGGAAAGGGCGCATGCGTAGGGTGTGGCATTGTTACATCTTGTCTTAAAATAGACCATGCCCACAGAGAGAGTCGGTACCTACCCATAGCCTTGGTTATTGGTTCCTTGCGAGGGGGACTGGGCCTGTTAAATGAAGTGCGAATAGGTTAGAGAATATCATCAAAGCGATTCTAAGGACGAAAAGTGGAGCATCGAGGAGTAGTTTGAACATAGCTATTAAGGAGGAAAGTGCGCACCTGAAAATCGGCAAGACGGTCTCTTCCGCTCATGTTGACAGTTCCGTGGATATGTTATGGAAAACGCGAGTGAAGGCTGGAGAGGGAGATAGCATTAGATAAGATGCGATTGAAGGTTGTTCTTTATAGCCGACCATGAGTATATCGATATACCTTTCTATGCAACTGGAGTACGATGAGAATTGGAGCGGAATGGAATGGAATGAGAAAGTGAGGAAAGAAGGAGGGAGTGCGAAGTCCATGGACGGGCCGTTGAGTGTGAACGTGTGTTACAAAAAAATTTCGGGTGGGATGGTTTCTGATCGGGTGCAAACCAAGGAGGAACACGTACGCGGGAAGTAGATACACATACACGTGGCAGTGGAAGGGCAAATACCTGGCGAGCCCATGGGGAAATAGGATCCAGGAAGGGAGCCAGGAAGGGAGCCGGGAAGGGAAAGAGTATCGACTGATGGGAGCGGGAGGGGGTATGCAGTGTCCTCAAAGCACAAGTCAGCCAGCCAGATGCCCCAGGATAAAAGTTCACCCACTTTTTTTTTTTCAATTGAACTCCAAACAGTCCGCTTCGGTGTTTCAGTGTTTGGTGGCGGTGGAATTCATTGACTCCTGGTCGCATACATCCCGCATGCATAGTCTATACTTTCCTTTGCTCAGGCTGGAACCGTTTTGCCTTATTTTCATGATCAATGCTATCGTCGTGCGTCGCTAGCATATATACAGCCTGGCTGTCTGACCCATCCATGGATTGCATTCCTTGTCTTTACCTCCAACGGACGTCGACATCGACGTGCACATTCTGGCCTATTTCATGGAGCTGATACCACGTACGCGGAACATGCACGACTCGATGTGTTGAGAGCGTTCATTCTTCAAACGCCAAGATGTCCTCGATGGACGTCGTCTATAGCCGAGCCAATGACAATGTAGGCAACCGGGAGCTTCCGTACTGAAGCAGTGCAGGCCGCAAGAGACAAGGCAGGACAAGGGCTGCCAACATGTTTTCCAACCCCTCCCTCCCCTCCCCTTGAACCCCCCTTCCCTTCCCAAGGGGAACATACACGCAGTCCTTCACTCTTCCGCTCCCATCGCTGTTCATTCTTTCCATCACACTCTCTGTTCATCTCATTCATTCATCCCTCCCTCCCACACCCAATCAGCCAACCACTCCAACCCAGCCACCAACCAACCCGCTACTAACTATCACCACTCCTAACCACACAATCACACACTCGCACACTCGCACACTCATACACCCGCCCACCAAGTCTATTCAGCCTCGCCTCGCCTTCTTTCATCCTGTCTTTCTTCTCTTGCCTGGTATCCAGCGACCACGAATCAGATTCACCCTCGGCCTCACCACCCACCCCCGTCTCTTTCTCCCCTACAACCAGCTCCAAATAGCTGTCGGGTTTACAGGGTCGTCTGCCAAGAAACCCCTTTTTCCTCCCCAAGGTCGAAGCCATGGTCACTGTCGTTGGGCAGCGCGTTGTCATATATCCATCGCATACATTGCGTGCACACTTCGAAAACCAGCTCTATGCCTTGCTGCTGGGCGGTCCACGGATAGACATCCTCTCCAGACTGCCATACGAGATCGCAGTCTACGTTCTCCGCTTTGTTGATATGTCCAACTTGTGCAAGATCGCACTCATCTCGAGAGCCTGGAACCAACTCTCAAACGACAATGAGGTCTGGAGAAGTGTGTATCTCTATCAGCAGCAATGGAAAATCAAAATCCCAACCCGGAAGTCAACCCTCATTAACAGCAGCAAAAGCAATAGCACAAGCAAAAGCCTCGTAGATCAACTACAGGATCTCTCACTGTCAACGCATAGCCAGTTGAATTGGAAGCAGCTCTGTCACGACCGCAAGGCACTCGAGAGCCGCTGGAGATCCATTCCCACTAAGACAAAGCTCATTGGCCATGAAGACAGCGTTTATTGTATCCAGTTCGACAGCACAAAGATCGTCACGGGCTCAAGAGATCAGACTATCAAGTTCTGGGACGCACACACACTCCAATGCACCGACACCCTTCATGGCCACTCGCAGTCCGTCCTGTGTCTGCAGTACAATGAGCACAGAATGATCTCTGGATCCTCCGACAACACAATCATAATCTGGGATATGGAGACACGCCAGCCTCTCTCGCGTCTTCATGGACATGCCGCCGGTGTGCTCGATGTGTGTTTCGACGACCAATATATCATCAGCTGCTCCAAGGACACCTCCATTAAAGTCTGGGACGTAAATAAGATGGTTCTCATCAGGACCATGACCGGTCATCGCGGACCCGTCAATGCTGTTCAGCTGCATGAAGGCCAGGTCGTCTCTGCCTCGGGAGATGGGCTAGTCAAGCTGTGGAATGTGGCAACAGGGGTCTGCATACGCGACTTTGTTGGTCACGAGCGGGGTCTGGCTTGCGTCCAATTTGATGGAGTGACTATCGTTTCAGGTTCGAACGATAACACTATCAGGATATGGGAGGCAGCGACAGGACGATGTATACGGACCTTAACCGGACACGAAAAGCTAGTTCGGACACTGCACTTTGACCAGAACAGGATCGTCAGTGGGAGCTACGACTATACCGTCAAGGTCTGGGACGTGGAGACAGGAGAATGCACCTTGGATCTCAACGACGGGCACGTCAGCTGGGTCTTTGACGTGCAATTTTCGAGCAGCCGCATTATCAGGTAACTCCAGGAACTCGTGTTTTGTCTCTTGCTTGTATGGTTCGATATCAAAGAAATTGACGTGAATGCTCTTCCCATTTGCACTGGCCCATGGAACCATATCGCATATCCACCCATGCTGAAAATAAACAACGACAGTACGTCTCAAGACAAGAATATTGTCGTTTGGGACTTTGCGGGGGATATAGACACCAGTCTGTTCGTGTAGCGTGTGTTCTCAAGGCACCGGGCTACATAACACGTGCCCAGGAGTTTTTTATCGTAATAAATTCCAATGCTGGCTGCACTCACTCTTGGATTTGGTATTTGCAGGTGTGGGACAAACAGGGTCCATCGATGGTCGCATACTTTCTGAAAGCGGACAAAACTTTGATGGAGCCACTCACGTGCGATAAGTGATGACTGCTACTGGAAGAAAAAGTAAACATATTTTTTTTTATTCCCTTTCTAGAGCCTTTGTCCAGCTACAACTTGGTGCATTCCCACTTCACCCTCTCTCTGCCATCCTTTTTACAGTCAATCTCTACTTCCTTTCTCATCAGACTCCTATCCCCCGTCCCTTCATATCAAACCACATAACCTATAACTCACAATGCGTTTAGAAAAGTGCTACTTCTGCTCGTCGACCTGCTATCCAGGGCATGGCACTATGTTTGTGCGCAACGACTCAAAGGTGCGTCTTCAGCCGCAGTTGCCTTTCTTTACCTTCAGTCTGGCTGCTCGTTGCCTCAATATCGTTGAAAATATGTTGAGTGACAGATGACAGCAACTAGTGTTCAGTGGAAACCTATGCGCCCAGACACAGTCTCGGTGGTGTTGGTTTTCGGCGCAATGGTCATCGAATTCAGATGTATCTACTTTGCCTTGAGGCTCTAGATAACTACAAATCTGATTCCACTTTTAATACTAATAAATGGCTCATATCGCTGTCTGTTCATCTAGACGTTCCGCTTTTGCAGATCAAAATGCCACAAGAACTTTAAGATGAAGCGCAACCCTCGTAAGGTCCGCTGGACCAAGGCCTTCCGCAAGGCTGCTGGCAAGGAAATGACGATCGTAAGTGGATAGTCGACCTCTCTTCCTTCCCGTGATTGTATCCGCCAGTGCATGGTCCAGGATGCGACCGACAATGAAGTTGAAATTGTGGATACAAAGACTATAATTATTAACATTTCTTTGTTGTTTCATCTTGTAGGACTCGACATTCCAATTCGAGAAGCGTCGCAATATCCCAGTCAGATACGACAGAGACCTTATGGCAACGACGATCAAGGCACTCAAGCGTTCGCAGGAGATCAAGGCGAAGCGCGAGCGTGTGTTCTACAAGAACAGAATGTCGGGCAACAAGTTGCGCCAGAAGTCCGAGAACCAGGCATTGGTGCAGAAGCACATCCATCTTGTCGACACCCCTGCGATCAAGAACCTGGCCCAGGTCCAGAAGGTGGCCCAGAAGAGCAAACTCATGGATGTGGACATGTCATAATTTTTCCTCTCTCTGTGCGTCTGTTCTTTTCTTCCTTTGGTCTGTTCATTTTCTTTCACCCATACATCTCCAGCATCGGCATTTGTGCTCAAGTATTAATAAACACAGCAGAGAAACAAACAAAAATGATTTTTTAGCATTGGCGCCCATTTTGTCTTTTTTTGCTCATATCCAGGTGATATATGATTGTGCCTGAATAGGTGAAACAAATAAGGTTAGCCACTACAGTGGCGAGCAGCCATTGGGGAAAACGGGAAAGGGGAGGGGGGAGGTGTGCCCATCATCCGTCCTTTACATCCCATCATTCGGATCTTCATTTTTCTTCATCTTCTGCTCATCATCCGACGTTCTTCAACCACAGCTCCATCCCTCCGCTCCATTCTACTCGTCTCTTTTCTTCTCCGCTCCCTTGCAATCCTCAGCGTACTGCAAATCCTCTCATATCATCCCTGCTTTCGCACGCGTATCAGCCCAGCTCAACATCGTATCTCACCCCTCGCCCTTGAACAAGCCCTTCCTTGCAAGTCATCTTCCTGTCACATACCCGCTCGGTAGTCCTTACCGTTTGTCCGAACTGTTGACCTAGTGGCAGCGTTCTTGACGATCAAGAACCAATTGAAAGTATAACCCAGGCCGTTTGATATTGCAACATGGCCCTCGAGAATACCGTCGACGTCGAGCAGTCGATCCCACACCCGTACCAGTATTCGAGCCCATATTACCTGACCAGCACCGCAAGCACCAGCACGAGCTACAACAACTCCTCCACGGACTTACATCTCCAGCAGGAAGATCAGGACGGTGTCACAGGACAGGACGTGCTAGCGCGCCCAGTAGGGATACACTCTCTCAAGCCCTCACTTCTGCGGTATATCTTCTCGTTCCTCGCAGTCAAGCATTACGACTATCTTAACCACCGTACGCATATTCTCTACAATCATCTGGGACCAGCCAGTCTGGTCTGCAAGACCTGGAACAACATTGCATCGCCTCTTCTCTGGCAGGAACGTACATTTCATGGATGGATGGCTGGCGAGGAGCTCAACGTCTTCTTACAGCTGACCGAGAACGCTGACTTTTCCTCAACGCACGAGTATGGCGAGTTTGTCAAACGCATCGAGATCATTGACTCGCATGACGTCGTCGATAAGCAGAATGGCGAGTTTGTCATCAACTGGATCACGCCCGACGTTGTCTTGGCCCTGTCAGAACACTGCTCTAAGCGACTCTGTGATCTGACGCTCATCTTTGCCACTGGGCGTCAGGTATCGACCGAGACCGAGGAAGGGTTGATTCCCTGGGGCGCACTCGCAGAGTCTTGTCGTCGACTGTCTGTGCTTTCGCTCGCCAACTATCTATGCCCAATTTTGCCTATAGGGAACGGTCATCCCTTTCACAAGTTTTCAACACATACGAATCCCTTGACGGAACTTGTCCTGAAGAGATGCAAGAACATACCGACCGAGACCTTCCAGCAACTTGCTCGAACCTGCGGTAAAGCGTTGACCAAGCTGGTGTTGTTGGATTCGGACGAGGGCCTGGGCATCGAAGAGATGACCGAGTTTGCGCGACACTGTCCTAATCTGCGCCATGTGAGCGTATCCTGGATCGAGTCTGTAACGCCCAAGATCAATGACGATGTTCTGCTGGAACTGAGCTCAAACTGCGAACGGCTCGAGTATATATCGCTTCTGGATGCCAACGAGATTTCAGACGTGTCCTTCCAGACACTCTCCAAGTTACGGTACTTGCGCAACCTGATCCTGCCGCGAGCAGGGACGACTCAAAGCGGGATGGCCTACGAGCAAGAGTCGCTGATCGCGCTGGCAAAGAGCTGTAAGCGGTTGGAGCAATTGCATTTGGTGGCCCCGGGGGCAGTGACCAGTCGATTCTTTGAGGCGTTGCTGTACTGCCCGCATTTGCAGGTGTTGGTGGTTGTCGAGCTGAGCAAGGGGCTTTTGATTGATCAACGGTTCAAGTCGCTAGGTCTTGCCAAATATGTCGATCCAGAGTCCGTAGAATCATACAAACTTGTATGGCACAAGAAAACTTGAAGGAGCGACGCAGCAGACTGGTTGAGAACACACTGCATGCTGCGCCGACGCATTTGGAGCACATTATCTTTCATTCTTTGCCGTTTCTTTTTCTTTCGATCTCTTTATATGGATTAGATAGGGAAGACAGCTAGACCGGAAGGGGTGGGATAGCACAGGCTTGAATGGAGTAATTTGCATTCATTCCAACAACATCGCAGCCAACTCATTATAGATACATTCGGCCAAGCGCATTTATCCTTTGGTAGTGTAGTGCAGAGCGTCATTCCAATTCTCTTTTCGTTCTTTATCTGACATTAAAAGGTAGTTGAAGCCGAGACTAGGATCATTCAGATCGAGAATCCGTTTCTTGGGACAGAAACGATGCAGAACGTAATGGTTCAATGGATCCTTGGTGTTCTTGTCGTGCGGAGCCAACCGGTCAAAGACATTGTAAAGGACAATGAGCTGCAGAAAATGCTTGAGCGTAAGCGAGTCCATTAGGAGATCGTAAATGGGCTCGAATGAGATTTGTGTGATAGTCTCGTCGAACTGAGTAGAGTCTTGTGAAAGATCGGAAACGACTGCTTCAAGGTCATTTGTGCCGCCTAAGAGGGCGAGGTATTGATACTGGCCCTGTTGCAGCAGTTCTATTAGTCGCGCGTGGATGTCCTTGATGGTGTCTTCGTCGACTCCGGCGTTGACAAAGACGACGACTCGATCGTCGTGATGCTGAGCTCTGAACATTTCTGTGAGATAATCCGAACAGGGTACGTGGAGGTTTCCATCCACGAACCCTGCTGTCAACGAGTCTCCGAGACAAGCGCTTTGATTGTATACATTTGTCGAAAGTGGGGTCCACTGTGAGTAGCAGTAAATACGAAGGGTGGCCTAACTGCCAAACGAGACAGAAAATAAAGAGAATACTTGTTAATACGTTGCCCCAGTCCGCAATGAAAGCTGTCTGTCTAGATCCTGACACTTGTTATGGCTCACCGAAATACAAAATATGTCGCGACAATTGAGGTCGTATTCCGTGTTTGGCTCTCTTTCATCCAGAGGCTCGTCAGTATGTCGTTGAACTTTATGCGAGCGTAGAAATCCCGAAGCATGCAGTCTGCCGCGCGCCTCTGGCCTGATGGACACCATGCACATAGAGGTCTCTTTGTGGTGGTTCACGACGGGATTGAGTCCTTCATGTCGCCTAATCCAGTATATCCCACTTCGCTTCGCTGCAGCTGTAAGAAATGGATCCTGATCACTACCTCTCGAACCATATTTATGACCTTAGTCCCAAATGGTGCGTCTACCCTCTTTGTGTCCTTTCTGTCTGTCGAGGCACCCTTCTCCAGTTCTATGCAAAGGAAAAGCAATAGAGGTGACTCAGGATTCAGCGTATTCAGTGTCTCCTAGCACAAGGGTTCGTAAAAGCATGGGGTAGTCTAATTCTATCGCGTACTATTTACTCTGAACTAGATTAACAGCAGCTTGTGTCCAGAAAATGCGCTCCAACTTTATGCTTGGTTATGGTTCGTGTAACCGCCTCCACTGTGAAAAACGGGACAGCTTTCTCTTTCGAATCCACGAGGTACAACGCCCGATCACCATGTCCTGCCTATTGATCGCGATAAGGCGTTGAAATTTACCGATTAGCAGGCAAGTACCGGACTATCCCTTAGACCGTCTCAATTGGAAAGAGAGACAACCACCTAGGATAAATTTTAACTAATACGGCCAGTACAGTTATTCTTGCTGGGGTCGGCGAAGGGGCTCTGGGCGAGACAGGCTACTGATCCATTCGAGGTCAATATTAGCCAAATTCTGAGCGCCCACGCAGTCCCTGTCTAGCCATCTCTGGCACCCATCCTCAAGACAGACGAACGCCCGATTCGCTGGCTTTGCCATTCTTCGGTCCTTGTTTTGTCGTACACAGCTTGGGCATTTCGATGACGTGAGATACTCATCCGAACAAACGACGGTGTACCCGAGGCTGTTTGCCTATGTAGTGCAATGGCATGCGGAAACATGGCATCAGTATCGATACTAGACTGAAAACAAGCAAATCGCAACGAATATCTTTAAAACAACATACCTTGTGGAAAAAATACCCCTTGAAGCTCTCGTGTAGCGATACCAGCCTGGTATGAGTGTTGAACTTTCCTGACCCGTGTACAAACATCGCTGGTCTCGTTGGCCCAGTATGCATCCCGCCTTGTGGGTCCAAGTTCGCAATGCCCCATGCACGGCATGATCCTTCTCTGCCCGGTTCGTCTTTTTGAGCTCCCACAGCTTTTTTTCATCGAGCGGGATCCGTAAAAATCGCGAAGTGGTTGTAGGACATAGCTGAACTGTCGAAAGCCGTGCCGGTGTTCTTCCATGCTTACGAATGACGACGACGGTAGCGAGGCTTCTAATTCGGATATGCTAGGCGTCTCGCATGTATGCCCGCTTAATCCTGTAATGTCTTTGATTGTGACAGTGGTCCGTTCGCGTTTTTTGGCCTCCAGCGCGACTCTGAATGACAAACTGGGACTGTAGAGAGCGGAGCGTCTGATAGGTAAGTTCGTGACTTGGTTCGGTTTTCGGGGGTCCAGCGCACAAAATGATGCTGAAATTACTTCACCGGGGTCCACCCCCACCCCCACAACATTCTGGAGGTCTTGATCGAAAGCCTTTGCGAGGGACCCTTTGTTAGGAAATCGCGATGTAATCTCCGGGATCCGCGCCTTAAATTTGGATGACTGTCAACGTCGTCGTATGCCAAATGCCATTAGGTGGAGCTGGACTCCGTCTGTTCTCATCATATTGCTGATGGCATAGTGCCCCTTGACGCTGTCATTACTTGGGGGGCCGGGGGACACGGGGGGCTCCGTGCCTTCGGTAGCTGCTTGCTTCCTGGCCTTGTGATTTGCAAAGACCCTCTTCATGTACCCATCGAGTGCAGCTTGGCTGTATGTGTTTGGATGATCCTTCAGCAATCGGTTCATGGTCGTTGTTTCCTTGCCATATAAAGTTTGGTTCTTGAGGGGATCCGCCTTGATCTCGACCTTGTCTCCGATAAACAGTAGTCGGAAAAGCTCCCCATATTTCTCTGATGCAAGTTCGTGGGCCGTCTCGGAAGAGCAGACTTGAGATTCCATGATATGCCGTGTAGGGTGCGTCTTTGAATTTGGATTGCCCCAAAGAAGTGAAAGAATGGCAGCCTCAGAGCACAAGATGAAAGAGTCTCCCAACTTCGACACTGGACAGAAAATAGGACGCAACTCCGACGGCACACGGAGAAAGTACCTCCACTAAGTTTGGATGTGCCCCTTCTTAAATGACACCTTGTCTTTCTGTTTATCGCCGTCGGAGCTCTCGTCATCCTCAACTGGAGGTATATCATCCGCACGCTTCAGCTAATAGAAACAAGAAATAAACGTAAGTTCACAGTGGAAAAGCAAATCGACGCGAGATATATCTTGTTCCGGACAGTGGAAATGTTACCTTGTTCACAATGAACTTGGGCAGTCTCTGGAAATGCTTTCGAACCCCGGTCCGGACCTCCACCGCCAGTTCCGCCTGGATGACGCTCAGGGGTATATCTTGGCAGTCCTTTGTCGGTGCGTAATCTGAAAGAACGCTCAGGAAATCGTCATAAATCGAGCGCGCAATTGTTTTCGCCTGAATTGCCGCCGAGTCTTTAGATGGTCTCCCGCAGGGCGCTACTGGACCATTCAGAATCAAAGAGATCAGATTTCTGATGATAGTTTCTCCATGTGCCTTGTGCAGAATGAGATCAAGTGGGTCCGCGTTCTTTTCCTCCTTGTGCTGGACTTTCGGAGCACTCGCTTGATTGACATCAGTGCCCAAGTTCTGATCTGGTGCCGGGCGCGCTTGATCCAAATTGGATGTGGTGGTAGTGCTGACCTCCTTGTAGAGAAAAAGTTCGAGCGCTTTAAACACGAGAATACGAGTTTGGCTCATGATGCGGACCGCCTCGCTGATGCGTTCCGCGACAATCTGGTCTGGACTACGTTCAGCTTCGTGGCGCGGTGCAGGCATCCTGTGATCGACCCTGCAGTCATTGTGGCAGCCTTGAAAGCCTCACCGAACAGGTGCTTAGTCAGGTTAGCTCCAGCTCGCCTCTCCACTTTTTCACCATTCTGCTCGTCCTCCTTGGACTTCGTCTTGGTTTCACTCGCGGCCTTAGGATTGTCATCCATGCTTCCGTCCTTCTTCTTCCGCGGGCGCGGTTCCTCGATGGACATCTTTTCCAATGCGACCTTGTCGACCGGGCATGACTGGCTGACGCCCATGACAACGTGAGGGGAATAACGAGGGTTGGCATCTCCATTCCTGCTCTTGTACCTAGGGGACAATCCCAAAATTTTAAAAAAAAAAAAAAAAAAAAAAAAAAATCAATAAGATGATTGTACCAAAGCGACAAAGCTGTAAAAGGTCGTAATGAATTTGAACTCGCTAACAAAGTCATACGACAATCATACCTGCTTCGTCTCCATTTTGCCTCCCGGGCTCTTTTACGTCTTGTTTTGCCTTTGGGGCGTCGCTTTCTCCGTTGCTGGGCGTTCCCTTTCTCGTGTCTGCGGCGACGGCGTCGGGTCTGAAGAATCATCTGCTGTCCAGGCGTCTGCAGGCTGTGCTGGACAGGGGAAGAAAACGCCAAGCCTGCAGAAGTGTCGCTGGTGAGTGTATCGGCTGGAGAATTTGTCCGCAAGACTCGAGTCATATTTCTCCTTTGCAGCTTGCACTTCTCGAGCTTCTGGAGTATGCCCAGTATTCTCTCGTGGGTCGTGCACGATGGCTTAGCGGAGTCAAGGTAGTCCTCACGCACTTGAACGAAAGCCGAAATGGCGTGGGTGTAGTCGTCCACACCCTTTTTTTGTCCTCCTCTCGCCCGTTGCAAATACTCTTGGATCAGCTCCTTGATAATCTCAGCCTCAGTCGTCTTGGATCCTGGCGCGTCCGTTGTTGATCCATCGCCTGCTCTGGTCTCAGTCCTCATCTCTCGGATGATCTTGGTGTTTCTTTGGAAGCCGCGCCACGGGAGCGCCTTGGAGTAATCGTTCTTAGTAACGATTGATGCCAGCAACAGCTCACGGTCGCATGCGAGGTCCAGAGACTCGAGCAGGTCAGCCTTCTTGTACGTGGTAAGCTCTCGGTACTTTCCGACGGATATAGTGATTTCTCTAACACCTTGATATACCATCATATCACTGTCGGCGGTAATGATTGCGAGGTCGTCTTTGTTGTTATCAGCTTGATACAACTCGGCAATGTGCGTGTCTGCTTGGAAGGGAAATTCGCAGGTGTGCCACTCCAAGGTCTCCAGCCCATTTCTTATGTCTGCCAGCGCTGCCTTGGATGTCTTGTACGCGTTTCGACATTGCTTGACAGGGGGGCCAAAGAGCCGCTGTTTTTTTTCTATGGCGTTGTCAGCTCGCGCTTCCAGAGCCTTGATCCGGTTGCTGAGGGATATGGCCCGACCTTGTCGCTCTTGAGACTTTTGTATCGAGGCCTTTCCGTCAAAGTGTAGAACCGTGGTTGATTTGCTAAAGTGCTTTGACATGATTTTGTTGAGGTCGTGCGCTATATGGCCGTAATTCTGTGACTAGAGATGAGGCGGGGTCGAGGAACGAAGCAACAGAACATGTGTCAGCGCTTGATTGCTATGCTGCGTAAGCTGATACGAAACCATTGGCACATTTAATTACCTGCTCTGTTGTTCCAGGTCGGTCTGGTGTCAATCGTCCATTAGGGCCAATGAACAGTGCAGGATGTTGCACTCCGGTAGCCTGTATCTCGCTCGCATAACTAGAGCAAGCCTTTCCTCGCTTGGATGGAGCCTCGGAGAAACTCAGGGCGCGCTTCTTGATGCCGCTTCTCCTGCTAGTGCTGGCGTCTGCAGTTGAAGGCGCGTCTTGCGCTGCTGAGGCTGTGGAGACTGCAGGGACTGTGGGGACTGCGAGAAAAGTCGCCGTTGCTGTTAGGATAGAAGCCGCTGATGCGTTGGTAATTGTCGTAGCCGTTGCCTCAGCTCTCGCTTCCTTGGCGACTCTGTTACACGTCGCTTTGAAGGCCCTTGTTTGCAAGAATCCGAAGTACAGACTTAAGACATCGACATGAACTTTCTTGCTCTGCAGACCATAAGCTAGCGTTCCTTTGGTGTCTTTTATAGCTTTGGGTAGCCCAGTGACTACCATCTGGTACAATAAAGGCCAAGTCAAAGTAGACAGCTAATGAGGATCAAATTTGGTGCACGTATCCATTCGCAGAAGCATTCAAGACTCACATTGAGAATATGCGACAGTGCTTGAGGGCTGATAAGGGAGTGGATGAGGAAAGGAGTGGGGTCAAGGATGTGAGGAATGATGTTTCTTTTAAGACTCCAAAATCTACGTCCAAAATGTGTGTATGTTCATGCACTATGCTATAGAAATTGCAGTGTTCACATTGATTATTGATTATTTAATTCGTATCTAACAGGGATTGATCACTGTTCTCATAAACCACCTAGACTGGGGCAGCGAAAAACTGCAGTTGCTGCAAGATAGTGTATTTCGTGTCAGGAGGGGGCCTGCGAGAACATTATGGCGCCATAGGCTTCTAGACTGTAGTCTCCCTGGAGGATAGCAACAAGAATGAAGGTAATCATTTATTCTAGTCAACTGGATTGTTAATTAACAACGTGAATTTCTGCAAAGGCCCCTAAAATTCAGCCCTGTATTCCTTTGCCAGTCACCCTTAAAATAATTTGGAACCGATATGAAGGATCGATTCATGGGAGTTATTTTGTGCTAGATCCGCTAGGAGCTATGCGAGATTTTGGTCAATGTGCAGAATATGTCGTTCTCTTGAGTAGACCCTGACCTTACTGGTCCTCTGCTTTTCGTTTATCGCTTTCCAGCTTGCCGAGGGATTCACATGGTGTTCCGGAGTGGACAGGCCCAGAGTACGGTCCAACTTGCACTTGAAAACGTCTGTCAGCAGTCAGAGGCCCACAGACAATAATTGGAGGATCAAGAGCCGAGGAAGGAAGAGCAAGAGAGCCATGGTGCTTGCGAAAGTACTGTTAGCCGGTGGTCCTTGTTCCTCCAACTTTTTCGTATTGCTGAGTTGGGCAAGGCGATAGAGGTCTTCCGATCCAAGGCCATTCGCCGCCGCGTTGAAGTAGAATCCCCATTGTGGACACAGCACCTCAATCACGGAGCGAGCCTTCCCCTATTCTCAAACACCGAAAACAGGAAACTCTTGTGCTCCAGTCCTTCCTAGGACACGTTTGGTCTGAGTCGCTGGGGGAAGGAGAGGAGGGGCAGGACGTACTGTATCTGGAGGCCCGCAAAAGAGCAGTCAGCGCCAATACGTCGCAGGGTCGAATCAACCACTGAACGCCTCGGAATCCAGCGCGTCAAGTAGGGTGACATCGTGTTTGACGGTAGTGAGGACAGGGATCGAAACGAGCCAGATAGTGAGCGCGGCCGTATCCACGTTGCTGAACTCGGCATCCTTCTTGGCCTTGATACTCTGTATCCCTTACTCTGTACGACGTGACGGGCAAATTTGCCCGGCAAAATGAAAATTTCCCTATGCTACAGTCATGTAAATTATTCAAAGTTTTTTACTCCAGGTCTGTGGGTTGTGTGTGATATTCTTTGAAACAAGGTCTGGCGCCATTGCTACACAAGGGAACCTTGCATATCTGGCACCAGATATTGCTTTGGAAGGGGTTCTTCTGGCTCATGTAGATCTGCTTGGTTTGGTATTTCCAAGAACACAGCATACAGGTCCCTCGATGCTTTCGGGTCACTGGAAAGTGGTTGTCATCGGTGAATCGGTCATTGGGGAGTTCAAAAGGTCTTTGTCACTCGAGGTCATTTCCAGACAGTGTCATCCTCGTTCTCGTCTCCCTCCTCCACAGCATTGTGGCGCCGTGCCTTGCTTGAGGTATGGGCCGAATCGATTAACCCCCAGATAAGAGAGCTGCGAAACTCTTTGTGCGTGAGAAGGGATCCTTTTTTTCGGGCTATGAGATAGGTGTTGATGATAGTCGTATCCAAGAGCCAGAAAAAAATTGGCATCCAGTTCCGCCGCGTTGTTGACTGCTTGCTGTAGTAGGATCGAAGTTGGTCGGTAATATCAACTCCACCCATATTGCAGTTGTAATCATCGATGACCTTTAGGATCTTGAGTTCCTTCCTGGGAGAGTTGCCAAAAATTGCTCGCACCTTTGCTCCGTTTGTACTTGTTTCTCGTGGTCGGCGCCGTTTCGAAGGACCTCCCATTCCGCACCTGCAATCCCGTAAATCGTTGTTATCATCGTCACCGGTCCATTATCCTGCCAGAAAACGACCAGTACTCCTCCAACCACAACTCCAGACCGAGTATCCCAACCCAACTTGGTGCTCTTTTCCACCTGTGCTCTTTCGATCGAGCTTAAAGACCAGGGAGGGGTGGCTAAACAGAATTTCGAGATAAAACGAAAAAACGCTGTCATTTTATTTTAACCGGGCAAATTTGCCCGGTGTACAGAGTAAGGGATAATGAAGAAAGACAAAGTTGTAGCCCTAGAACACAATCATTACCTTTACATCCATGCATTGGTACTGTGTAAGAGCCAGGCGTCGAGGACCGAGGTGAAAGGGTTTGCTCCAAAGACGGTGGAAGTGTTGAATCAGATGAAGGATCAAAATCATTCTGGTTGGCCTGTGCTTGTAAGTGGTCAATTTCGTAAAGCTCTCCTTGATAAGAAATCTCCATGCCCTTATAGACCTTTGCGGTTAAATACATATGTTTGCACGGCGCCTGATGTTGAGCATAATAGTTGCAGCGACAGGCAGCAATGATGGCGAATTCTTCGTCTGTACGGACGTCATATGTAAGACTTGTGGGTGAGCGAGGAACAACGAGGTGAAAACGAGGGAGACGAGTGAACAAGGTGAGTGAACAAAGACGAATATGTGAAGACAATAGTTTATTGACTAGACTGTTGTGAGTATATGAACTGGGGTTCAACTATATAGTCTGTCTTCCCTTATATACATCAGACGAATAAAGGTCCTGATTAGTAATCCATGGTTCTAGACGTTTCGGTGCTGCCTTTGCTCATCTTTACATCATGGAGCTTTCTGTGATGAGGGCGACGTTGATCCAATCTTAGACGCGTCTAGCGTCACATGACAATACCAATCAGAGTTAAGCTCTGACATGAACCCACGCGTTACAGCACTGATCACTCGTTTTCCTTCCTTACTTTAAACCTCATAACCTCATCGTCTTTGCAGATTCCCGACATCCGACCTCTTTTCCATTGAATCGATCACATTACTTCAGCTAAACACTACACATTCGACAGCAGCTCTCTCATCGCGCCACTCGACGTACAGGAAGTGATGGGTCTTAAAGGCTGGTACGCCTTTCTTCGTAAGAAGGGTTACCAACCCTCTGTACTTTACCTATCAGCCGCGTCAACAACCTCGAGCACCGCCACCAGAAGATTCGACCTTCTCTCTCGCTTTTCAGTCATCAGGAATGCTTATACACAGAACTCCATCGAGATGGCCCATACGGTCCTAGAGCTGGATGTCATGCGGTTCGGGACCAAGGAAAACACCATTATCTACGTCGACGGAATCCAAGCAGAGGAGAAGGAGTTCACTGCTCAGATCCGCCAAGAAGCTCGGGAGAAGACCACTAAGCGTTGCAAAGAAAGTGTGGATGAACTACAAAGACGGATCGATAACAACCTCAAGGTTCGTAAGCGACACTCCGCCGATGCCTGGACCAGCCTTGCGTCCTCCTTCTATTGGTCCCTGCCCATCCGTGATGCATTTGTCAAGTATATGCAGGGTGAGGGGTGGAACATTCAGCGATGCGAGACGGAAGCTGATGTTGTGATCGCTCAGGATTGCAGATTTGACGATATTGTCGTGTCTGCGGACAGCGATATGCTCGCGTACCCATCCGTGTCAAGTCTGTGGCGCCCGATTTCAAAGAACTTGATTCTGATCTACAAAATATCGGATATCTGTGAGGTTCTCGGTGTGTCCAGGATCCAACTCACGGCCCTCGCTGTTGCCTCCAACAACGACTACGGAAAAAAATATCTACTCTCTTGGACCGGCGACCAACTTTTCGATTATCAAGACGATCAAGAAACAAGGTAAATATCAATGATCAAAGTATTAAGGAGCGAGGCTGAACCATTTAACTAATATATATTTTTTTCTACTTTTTTTTACCCTATTTTTGCAGATGTGCGACAGACGTGAATGCATATTTGGAAGACTCCAAGGTCGTTTTAAAAATCACAGACAACAAAACACTTGAACTTGCACTCAGAGTCTTTGTTAATCTCCAACAGACGCCTGTCAGCGATCCTCGCCCTTTGTCCAGCGTCTCGTCCTACAGTGAGCTTTACAAACAACTCAAGGATCTTTGTGCCATGTACTAAGAGAACAAGGATTTTCGCGCACAACTGCAACCAAGGTATGCTATATTTCTGTTCAATATCGCACGGCATTTAGGACTTGGCATCGGCAATCATCTCACAGCTCACCTTACTTATTGTTTTGATGTCAATAGTACTCGCAAGGATCGGATCATCCGCCTCCGCTCCTCACAGTCTTTCATTCGATATAGGACAGTTGAGTCTCCAGCTATGTTGAAGCCTGGCCTTGGGTCGCGCTTACCACAGCCGCCATCACCGCAACCATCCTCGGCACAACCACAACAACCTGCACCGATTCTGCAGGATAACCCTTCGACCACATTACCGTCTCAGGAGTCAAACGGTCACCCGCCGCTTCCAAGGACGCAATTCCCACGAAATCGCCATCGTTACTCATTCAAGACGAGGACAGGGGCAACAAACCCCCCACCCCCAGTCAAGATGAAGCTCTACAAGTTCAAGCCTTACAAGGAGCCTGAAGCAAAAGACGAGCTTGAGCCCTCCAGCGACGAGCCCAAGCCCAAGCCCAAGCCCAAGACCAAACTCAAAACGTTGTCCGATTCGAGTGCAGCCACCCGCAAGCTCGCTTTTACACGGTTATTACAATACCAGCACCCAACGTCTACTTTGAACGTCGGTACTCTATCCGCTAACCTCAGACGAGCTCTGCCAAACGACGGTACCGTTCAACAGGAAGTTGCCCTCTGTATCCGAAACGCTGTGCGCGAGGCTGCCAGGATCAAACGACAAGGTCAACGAGTAATTGGAAAGGTTGTCGAGCATGTGAACAAGCATGAACCGGGTCCCAACGATCGTCGATTCATGAATTTTCTTTGTCCTCGAGTCTCCATGAAGGACGCGAAAAAACTGGATGACGGTTGTGCTGCAGAGGACGACGATGAGGATGGTGGTGACATGGACCAGAAATCCAAAGATGGCAAAGGCTCTGAGCAGTTCTTGTTCCTCCAGAGCTTTCTGGCATACCTCTACTCTGGGAACTACCCACGAAAAAGTGGTACCGGTCAGAAGGTCAACGATTTCATTGATCGCCTCAAGGATCTCGGACTGTACGCCCCACCATGTCCTCGGGCCGCTCTCAACGAGACAACTCCCTTCTCACCAAAAGAGTTACTCCTATCGGTGGCGTTGCAGCTCAAGGTCGAACTCAAAAAAATGTACCGTAATGGGACCTGTGAGCTGCATAATAAGGTATGAGTTGAGGGCACTACTGGTCATCTTAATGTACATCAAACCGATACCTATCATGTCTCTTATTTATTATTTTCTATCTTCTCAATTATAGCTCCAGGAAAGAAAAAAGAAGGGGCTGCTGGGATCCGATGTTAACGTGGAGGTCCAGGAGGAGGTATCTGCTATCGAAAACTACCTCGCGATCAACAAATTGAGTCCAAACCCTCGTAGGATCATCCCCATGTCGACGGCGAAGCAACCTTTTGTCAGTTTCACGGAACGACAACTGGCTATGTTCTTTTTCAACTGCGGAGACGCACTGAGGGCACGGGTTCAGGAACTGGTCGGTACCGTCTGCACATCCATGCGGGATGTTGAGGAGCGGATAGGAGGAAAAGAACCAGGCTTTCTCATCAAGCACCTCATCGTCGATATCGATCCCGAAGACCTGACCAGTCGCAAGAGAGGCAAGGCTGGACACCGCGCTGCGATCAAGTTGTTATCCCTTGATGATCTCGAGACCCACTTGCAGATGCTGGACGATCCAGAGTTCAGACCGGAGACCTATGCCCGCAAAGGATATTTTCTCAGGGGGTTCTTACGAACTGACGGATTCACTATGCAGCTCCTGTGTTCCAAAGTCAGGGAACTTCTGTCAGTCAAATACAAACGGTTGCCCGGCGATCGCCTACCTCCTCGATTGACTTCAACACTTCACGGTACCAGTGATTTTTTGACGGAGATCCGAAACGTTATCCGAACCAAAGACGATGTGGCGAGACTTTGGCTTGGTGTCGATCCTAAAGATATCAAGATTCTCACCCTTGACGCAGGACAAGCTTTTGTCGTTGGAGCATATGCATACCTACCAGGAAAATCGATGAACAAGGACGAGTCCACTTCCTTCAATGGTGCATTCCCTATCGCCTCTTACTCCACAACAACACCACAGGATCTGATGCAAAAGCCGTCTTTGGAGGCACAAACAACTTCAACACCACAGGATCTGATGCAAAAGCCGCCTTTGGAGGCACAAACAATTTCAACACCGCCAGCAACAATGACAGTGTGACAAGATCCCTCACCACAATCTTACCGTCAACCAGAAGGCCGTGATGCAGCCTGTCTTCCGATATAGACGCTGGCTCGAGGATGAGAAGCAACTGAAACCAGAGGGTCCAGAGCGGCAACATCAATTGAAACCGGATATCGGGTTACAGTCGATTGCGCATATCGAGTCCCAGCTCCCACCTCTCCAAGGTCCAGACACCAGTGTCACCAACTATATTGAGGAGTTGAAAAAAGTCGAGAACCGACTCTTGGAGTTCTATAACGGGGACAACTTTCGATTCAAGAAGCACACATGGGACATGAAGAGAGCCAAGCACATCGAGTACCAGGCTATTGCCAACAGTCTGCTTGGAATCGTTGGCGGTAGCATTGGTGAACGTCGAGCCAATGATAATCCAGTGTTGATTGGTGTGGGCCTTGGCCAGTTCGGGAGCAGTAGTCGACTGTCGTCTCTCCACTCATCGTTTTTGTCATACTTTGTCCCTTTGGTAAGCAAACGTTTTGTTTTTTGTATCATTGACAATATTTTCTGAGGATTGAGTGCAGGTGAATAACTTATTTTAATTGTTGTAATTAGGCGCGGTCCCTCGGGTATATTGTCGTCGGTCTTAATGAGTTTTATACCTCAAAGAAATGTCCGGATTGCCACCGGTTTGTGGCCGAAGTCACCCTTCGACAATTCTTCTGCCCCCACTGTGGACGGTATCACCACAGAGATGTCATGGCAGCCGAGATATGTCCCATATTGTACGAGAGTACCTGTTGTACCAAGAGCGACCGCGATATCTGCACCCTGCTGCAGCAGACGGCAGGTATCCATGGATGGAATCATTGAGTTCAGGACAAGGGACAAGCGTCGAGGCGGCTGTCGGAATTAGTGACTCCACCCCACCGATCCAGGCCGGTGGTACTCGATCTCGGAAAAAACGATCGACCTCCAGTTCGACTCAGCAGGAACGTCCAAGAAAAATGGCCAACATTTTGTGTGTACGGCCACACCCACCCACGTGATGATTACAGGGGCGTTGATGAATTTATGATGACGTAGATAACGCCCAGATAGTCCTGTTTTCAACTTGAGATTTGGCAGTTTCTTCTATCGGTTGTCGCCCTTTTTAGGTAATGCGAATGGGGAGCACAATAAGGTTGCGACAAGGGTGTGGAGTTGTGCCATCATGGACGAGGGATGAGCCCGTGGAAGGGAAGGTAGCCCCCATCCTCTCTCTCTTTCCCAGAGACCGCGCCATGTGTGGGGATCCGAACGAGAAGATACGGCTGCTCTCTGGCCTTCTCCACAGACGCAATTGATTGGCCTGGACCTGTTAAATAAATACTTCCGAGGCATTTTCATTTTCCATTCCAGCTGTTTCCGGGTCTGGCGCCCCCCTCCTCTCTCTCCCCCCCCCCCCCCCAAGCTCTTCTCCCTCTCCACATTTCATAGTTCAACATCGCATGGTAAATTGTTGGGTCTGAATGAAGGTAGCAGGACTGGATGGGCCTTGGCATCCATCCCTTGAGGACGGACGAACAAGCGAGTAATAGACTACACCCATGGTAGTCTAGCCGTTGAATGCATCCATTTCTTTGCTGCGTTGCATATCCTTTCCCTTCCTCTTCCTCTTCCTCTTTTCCTTTTGAATAGGACACTGCAATCGGATGGGACCCTATTGGCGGGTCCTCAGCAGATGGATGATGAAGTCACTGCACCGCACTCTAGTATAAATACCAACGCTTGTTCCTCTCTCCTCTCTCTCCATTCGTTGATCTCTCCCCCCTCTTTTAATTCTTCTCTCGTTCGTTCCTCTCCACTCTCCACTCCCTACTCTTCACTCTCCACTCTATTTTCTCCGCACTTCACACTTCACACCCCACACTCTGCACCTCGTGTTTCCCTTGACGTTCTTACTCTTGCACTCTCCACTCTCCACTCTTTACTCTCCACTCTCCACTCTCTCCACTCTCCACTCTCCACTCTCCACTCTTAAACTCTTACTTCCGTCAATGGCTGTCTCTGCACACTCTTATAATATGCCTCCACACACTCAGCCTCGAGGATCTGTGCCAGTCTCCAATCCCACTTTCATGCCCAACAGTTGCCAGTCGACTCCCTCGTCCTGTGCTTTGTCCGTCAACAATGACGTAGGGGTCATGGACAAGGGCCAAGACCAGCTGCCGTCCTTACCCGTCCCTCCTTTGGATCAGACCTTGACAAGATACCTAGAGTCGATCCGACCCCTGACTTCCGATGATGAATACAACCGAATGGCCGATGCAGTCCAGCAATTTAATCAGTCCGGTCAAGGCCCTTCGCTTGACCAGAGGCTGCGTAAACATGCCAAGGAATGCGAAGCGAGAGGCACGAGCTGGTTGGCAGAGTGGTGGGATGATTGGGCTTACTTCTCACACCGCGACTCGTCCACGTTCTTTGTCAACTACTATTTCGGATTCCAGGATGATCCGCGCATGCCCACCCAAACAGCCCGCGCTGCGCTGCTCGTCAGTCTTGCCCTGGAATTCAGGCAATTGATCTCAAAGTAAGTGCTGTGTGCCATGCACTGGTTGTCATACTGCGTGTTGCACTGTGTATCACCGTGTATCACTGTGTATATTGCCCACATGGCGTTTAATCTGAGGTGTCTGGTCACTTGTACAAGATGTTCGGACGTTCTTATTATCTCGGCTTTGATCTCCATATCGATGACATATTTACAAGTGTACGGATAATTAAGGTTCAGATTTTAATGCGGACAATATCAGAAGGGCCTGGGCTCATTCTCAGAAGTGTACTCTAATTTTAAATGCGATGCTGGTATTTCTCATCCTGGTGCTGCAATTGGGAGCCAGAGAAGGAACCCATTTACTTCTATATCCCTCTCCTTCTCCTGGGCCTTTTTTTTTTTTTTTTTTTTTTTTTTTTTTTTTAATAACGATAATGGCGACGACAAGAAGCAGGGGGAAGTGGCACGTGCCCCTTTCCGAAAGATTGTCTATGTGTGGTGGTGCATCTTCCTTTTTGGGACTACCGGATGGAAGAACTCTACAGTGATACTAGACAAAACGATGGTCAAGAGGCCTTAGCGATCGTGATCATGAGCACTTGGATCTGGGTTCGGCTGCTAACCACGTTCTGACACATTCTTTCATTGCAATGCACCCGTAGTCGAACATTGACTCCTGATATGGCTAGAAATTCGCCCTTCTGCATGAACATGTACCGCTTCCTGTTCAACTACAGCCGCATCTCCGGGACCCCCACTGATGCCGCCGTCGGCTTCCCTACTGAGGCCAACAATCACATATGTGTCGTCCGCAATGGCAAGTTCTACATCTTCGAGACACAGCATATACCCTCAAAGCCATCTTCAGTTCTCAGTCCACGCGAGATCATGATCCAGTTGGAGCGCATTAAAAAGATGGCCGACGATGACAAGTCGTCTGCCCCCGCCGTCGGCATCCTGTCCACGGGCCAGCGCGATCAGGCTGCCAAGGACCGTGTCACTCTCTTCGAGGCCCATGCGACTAACAAGGCCCATATGGCCAAGATCGAGTCCTCGATGTTTGTCCTTTGCTTGGACTCGACTTCGCCCTCGACATCTGAAGAGTTCTCACGCGCGTGCTGGCATGGAGACGGAGCCAGTCGTTGGTTCGACAAATGCTTCCAGTTGATCGTCTTTGCGAATGGCCGTGCAGGAATGAATGGAGAGCACTCCAAGATGGATGCAACCCCCACGTCGCGTCTCTGCCGCTACCTAATTGACGAGGCCCAGGCTCGTACCCTGCCAGACTTTCGAGGACTGAATGCAGAGGATTTGTACGAAATCGCCTCTGTTCTGGATAAGCCCCAGCCGCTCAGCTTTGTCAGCAGCTCCGCTCTCGACAGGGCCATTGCGAACGCCTTTGCGTACTTCAGGGCCACTGTGGACGCACACGAGATGATCCCGACAGAGTTCAGGGGCTATGGCAAGGGTCTCATCAAATCGTTTAAAATGTCGCCGGATGCCTATGTGCAAATGGCTCTGCAGCTTGCCTATTACCGCAAGCACAAAGAGTTGGTTGCTACATACGAATCTGCAGCCACACGAAAGTACCGGCACGGTCGCACAGAGACAGCCCGATCGTGTTCCAACGAAAGCAAGGTCTTTTGCGAGGCCATGGATAATCCCGACGCAAGTCTTAAAGTGCGCGTTGCTGCCTGCCGCGCTGCCGTCGCGAGACATGCACAGTACACTGCCTGGGCCGTGGATGGACAGGCAGTCGATCGTCATCTGCTTGGTCTGCGGTTGATCCGGAAGCCAGATGAGCCGATTCCGGCCCTATTTGCAGACCCAGTCTTCGCACGTACTTGCCGCTGGCGACTCTCGACATCTCAAATCTCAGACGACTGCTTCATTGCATATGGATGGGGTGAGGTTGTTCCGGATGGCTATGGATGTGCCTATATGGTCAAGGAGTCAGAGCTGTACTTTTGTGTAACGAGTTTGAAGCTGGGCTCCAAAGAATTTGGCCAACACATTGTCGACGCGCTCGAGGACATGCGGTTCACGTTCGAGGAGGTACGCAAGATTGAAAAGGCCGAGGCGGCCCAGGCGGCCATGGTGGCAGCCGCAGCCGAGGCTCTTTCGCATGCGGAACGAGCAAGCGAGCTGGCCATGGCTAGCAATAACATGGACCCATCCCAAGCTACAGTCGGACGAGTTCGCAGTGAGCGAGTCGCGCTTTCGGACTCTTTCATGTCGAGGAGTCCGTCTCCAGCACGACCTCCTCTCCCTGCACCAAGAACAAGTCTGTTTTTCCAGAAACACGACCCTGTTTTGCGTACAGCCTTGGCACGAAACGCAATAGCGATGGCCCAGGAAAAGTACCTGTCCGGTATCGATGAGATTGCGTTTGATGACCTGGCTCCCGGATCGCCGCGGCCTCAAAACAAGACACTGCCTTTGAATGCATCGACAACGACTTCAGTTGAATCTGAGAAGCCTGCCACGGGTGACACTAGCGGAGCAATTGTGGGTCGTCCTCGAAGTGACTCTGGCGCGCATATCAGGACCTTCAGGGCCATCTTAATGGGAGAGGATGGAATTTTGAGTCGACTGCGGTCCCGAGGAGGCTCCAACAGGACCGGTAACAAGACTACGCCGCCACCAAGTCCTTGATTCCTTGATTCCTTGATTCACCCGAGAAGCTCATCGCGTCGAACTGTCAAAGTACTCTGTGTTGTACACTTTTACACTCCTTCATTCATTTGCCCAAATGGTAGTCTACTATACTGTGCATCGTTTTTTACTTTAAAATATTCGTCCGATTGCTCCAAACTGCATGCACAGATAACTTTCTCCATGTAAGGTCCTGTATCACTCAAACAGGCATGCACTGCACCTCTTAAGACGCATTTGAGATGGCAATAAAGGGTGATTTATTGGCTTCGACGAATTTTGTGGGTATGGAATAAGGCGAGTGCGACTAGTGAAATAAAGCGAGCGGGATACGACGAATATTGGCATTATGGCCATGACGATCAACGCCATGGCGATAGAGGAGGATGAGGGGTATAAGGTATATATACATAATTGTAGATACAGAGAGGAGTGGTGTACTCGGCTCGGGTACTCGCGCCTTGGCTTTCTTGAATATGTCAACTTAGGTCATGGCAGACAGACAGTTGATAGTCTGAGGCCTCGCTGGGTTGAAATAGGCATCGACCGCGTTAAAGACGATGGGATCGACCATCTGGGCGACGTGCTCAGACAGATCCACCGGGCAAAGGCTTTGGAGGACGACGTTTTGCACAAGCGGGTTCTTGTCCTTGAGGAGGCCACTGGTGTAGGGGGTCACAACCTCATCCGTCTTGGATACAATGAACTTGTACTGGACACCGGGCACAGTATCACCACCGGCATTGAGATCCTGAAGAAACTGTGAGTTTGGTAGGAACTGGAAGCAGGAGAGGCACACAGGATCGATGATACCCTTGATGGTGTCATAAAGGCCGAGCGAGGTCAGGAAGGGAACGAGACCGCTAAGAGTGGTGCCATATGCAATGGCGCCAAAGGCGGCGAACTTGTCTATTCATCAACACAAAAAAAAAAAAAAAAAAAAAAAGCTGCATCAATATTCAGTCGAGTCAATATTTTCATGGTATAGGATGCAAAGTATGAGGTGCAAGGTTACCGATCTTGGAGGAACCTCCCAAGTATTTCAAATAGTATCGGGGCATGAGCGAGCCCTCGGAGTGGCCCAGCAGGTTGACCTTGGTGGTGTTGGTTGCAGCTAAGACCTTGTCGACAAAGGCAGACAGCTGAACGGCGCCGTTCTCCATCTTGTCAAGACCTGCAAGCAGAGGAATGCCTGGCAGCTGTCCGTAGGTCAAGCTGTACACACAGTATCCGCGTGCAACCAGTCTCGGGGCCATGTACAGCCAGTTGTCCCAGTTGTTAGCGATCTAGGGTGTAGAGGATATCCATGTTAATGATCAAACCACAAATGGTTTAGTACAAATGAATAGGAACAATACTCGTCATGAAAGCATAGACGCCAGACATACCAATCCGTGGACCAGGATGATAGCACGGGGGTGTGCGCTCGAGGGTTTGCAGGACCAATCATTGAAGCCGACCGACGAGCGCTTTAGGATCTTCTCGTGCTGGTCAACCTGTTCAGCCGTGTACATGCGCTTGGTCACGGGGACATAGTTGCTGACGGCAGCGTTGGCTGGGATGGGAGAGGCTTCGACTAGGGTGGACGCGATAGTTGCGAGGGCAACAGCGGCGGCAAAGAGGGTCTTGTAAACGTACATAGTTATTATTCTTGCGGCTGCTTGCGGGATGGGAAAGGCGGGGCAAGGAACGTAGAGTTGTAAAGGAACTGGGAGCGAGGGCAGGGGAGGGATAAGAGGGTGGAAGGTGCTGTGACGAGGAGAACACGACAGAATGTAGGGTGGACTCCGTTTGCTTTATATAGCTGCCGACATCCCAAGGCATGTATATAGCTATAATATCTCGTCTGTTTATTCGCATTAACCACCGCGTTGTTTAGTATAGTGGCCGTTGCCCCATGCCTCCTCAGGGGAAGCCGGGCGAGCGGCGAACAAGCATGTCTGAGTGTGTAGGAGTGTGTTGGAGAGAGGGCGTGTGTGTAATTCCCATGCTTCCACTTTGCCTTGGCGTTTGCTATCCTCCTTCGGCAATCGTTGTACAAAGTGCCTCTGGTCTTTATGCTCGTGCCTTGCATATTTTGCTGTCCATGTTTACATATACTTCAACCCTATAAGAAAAAGACCCAGTTGGTTCTTGTATGCAGAAAGTTGGCAGGGCAAACTCAATCATCCTAAATCCCTAAAAGAACGCTGGTGACAGGAAAGCAGAAGTAACACAACCCGGAGCTGACTCAATAAATATGAACCGAGCGAGATGTTATGTATGCCTCGGCAGAGCAGGGATAGTATCATACAAATAACGCGTGGAGCACGTTGCAAAAGTACATGCACTTGTACACCGATTATCGAGTGAGCATTTGAGCACAAGTCATGTTCTGGATCGCCTCAAATTTTCTAATCCCGTGCAGTCGCAGACGAAGTGTAAGTGTTAAAGTGAGCGACCAAGGACGAAGGAGTAAACCAACAAAAAGGCATCATTCGCGTTACCTTCAACACCTTGTCTTGCCTTGCCTTGCCTTGCCTTGCCTTGCCTTCCAAGAAACGCACATGAAAATGGAGCCTTGATATTGTTATTGTTGTTATTGTTGTTGTTGTTGCTGTTGTTGTTGTTGTTGTTGTTGTTGCTGTTATTCACGAAACAAAGCGATCGATAAAGAGAGGGACGCGTTTGAATCGTTTGTCGCCATGATTGTCTATGCTGCAGAGACCACGCTGCAAGAGGCCCAGGACAACTAATGTACCTGAAGAAGTACATACATGTTCTTTTCCCCTGACGACTCTTTGTCTCCTGGCACAGGCTGTCGGGGAGAGCAAGCGGCGCACGGTGTGGAGAGGACGGGAGGTTGTGGATAACAGACGCATGCTCTGGAATGCAGCGAGGCATGACAGGGTTGTGGGGGAAATTCAAATTCAGGGCCGTAGCATCTGCATGTGCTTCCTGAGATTTGTCAGGGGTGCATCCAACGAGGGCGTCATCCGGCGAAAGGGATGTCGCACAAGGTGTGGAGGGAGGCGATCAACAAGCAGCAAAACAAACAAACAAACAAACAGAGTCTATCCAAGCGGAATGTGAAGTTAGTCTAGCCTAGTGCTTCGGCTTGTATTGATTCCATGCGCTCAATTGTCCGCTATCTGATTTGATATCGCCAGCCGAGAAAGGGAAAAAGCGCGCATCAACAAACACCATACCCATGCATGGAGGACTACAGAAGGACGCGTGCTCATGGCCGGGTCAACTGCAGGGAGGCCACAAAAAAAAAGAGACAGATCCAGCATGCTCGCATTTTTTTTATTGTTCGGCGGATGCAAAACAATGGAATATTACATGCTTATTAACAGCAAATAAACAACGCGGCCATACGCTTCCGTTTTGCCTCCAGTATACCGTACGGATGTTTTTTCTCTTGAGTAGCACCCACAGGCCCCTCTCCCCACTTCCCCCTATTCTCAGGATAAGCACTTGACTTTAAAGAAGCACCGACCGCCAGGACGTTGCTCGGTCCTCGACAATAAATTTGACAAAACGCGTCTGACATTTGCCTTTCAGACGCATGCACACACGCAACCAATGTTGATTGCTGGAAAAACATCGATTGGAGCAAATAAGTAAAACCACGGTTTGTATCGATCGTTCACGGCCCGAGGCTAGAAGAAAATGAAGATAAACAGGCGCCAGGAAACCACTTTGATGATCTTATGCGGGAACAAGTCCAGGATCAGGGCCGAACCGATATGCACACGCAAATTGCAATCAAGCGCGCCTATCTTTCTCATACAGGCCGTAGGTGACAAAACCATTTCTCAGTATCTACTATATGCTCGCGATGGGCTCTACGGATTTTACTGTGTGGTCTATAGACATTTAAGTCACTGCTTCTGTAGCGCGTTTATTTATTTCTTGCAGTCTACGTTCGAAATACATGTTCCAACTACTTCACAGCATGATTAGACAGCATATTGGACAACTACAGAATGAGCAAGAGCCCAATCCACATCCAAAGGGTACGCTTCCTTTTCATGATGCCGTCTGCTAGGATCGTCCTTCCTCTCTATACATGCCGCTGCATGTATCGCTTGATGGTCGTCCAAGCAGCTGAAAGTCTCTACACTCATGACAGGGACAGAAAGCGGTGGGAGCAGCGGAGCAAAAGAATTGCTCGTGGCAGCAGTGGATGCCTTGCTCTCCATTGCCAATTGCGAAAGCTCTGTTATAGCCGTGTAGCCAGCAGCAGCTACGATGAAGGTTCCGACAATGGCCAGATACACCCGCGAAAAGGTCGCCATCACCTGCCAGATAATCGCCAGCATGTCGCCCTGGAGCGCCTTAAAATGCAGTCGACCGGCATATGCAGGCATGAGCTGCTGCGTCAAGATTCTGACATCGCTGTATGAGAACGTGATGAGTCCGCGGCCCCACACTTGTTTGAGTGCCAGCACCACCTCGAGGTATGAGAGGAAACCATCGAATTCGGGCTCGCCGACATACAGTTTGTATTGCAGGTGACAGAGGAAGCGCCGTTCCAGATCGTTCAATTCTACAGTGGTATATTGGCCTCTTGTAAAGTCGGCCCATTCGGCATTGGAAAAAGTTGCATCGAACAGATACTTGTCTGCACAAATAACAGCAACAAGAAAGAGCGAGATGCTTGACCAGGGCTTCTGTCCGTGCTTTAAGGTGCTGCTGCCATTACTGCTGCTGTTGCAGTCGCTGCCATAGTTACTACTCCGTAGTGTTGATGACGAGAGACCGGAGGATGGAGACGTTGTGTTTGAAGAGAGGCAAGAAGATGAGGGACTGACAGGTAATGTGTCGCTATCGTTTCGAACAAGGTCTTCAGCGAGAGGCGAAATGTCAAGCTTGCGCGCGTGCTCATAATCAGGTCCTTGATCAAGTCGGGTCCTGCGCTTAAGAGTCCTCGCCAGCCTAGCCTTGAACCGGTCGATGTAGATGAGGGCAAGGATGAGGGTGGTGCACGATAGCTGTGTTCGCTTCAGGATTCGCTGAATAAAGTGAAATATATCGGTTCCGTCATGGTCAGATGGTTGGTTTGCGGCCTTCTTTTTCTGCTGCTGTTCCTGGTGGTAATGGGTTTGATGAACCTGGTCCTTATACATATTTCCGCCAAAGAGCGACAGTTCCTGACCGGTGATCATTGATGCAAGCACTGCGGCCGCAAGGTCTATGGTTTGTAAGACGTGAAAGAGTCAATACATGCTGGTGCTTTCGTTAAGGTGAGAGGACCCAGCTTGGCAAGTTGGGATACAATGGGCCAGAGTATGCTGGTACATACCGATGAGGTTAAGGGGGATTCTTGTGAACTCGTCCCTGGCATACCCTCGGCTCTTGAGATGGTCCAGGAAGCCGTGGTACTCGCGTAGGGGTTCGGCGTACTGGAGTTGACAACGAAGGCAGAAAGATGAGCTGGAGGTCAAAGTGCGTTCCCTTTTCTCCTTTCACACACAGCGTGCGAGTGTTCCTTGAATGTTCCTCGGATGGATTACCGTGGTGTCGGACATGAGTGTTCGGGCCTTGTCCCTGTTGGATTGTTCCTTCCGGGAATGTTTCCTCCTGCGCTGCTTTGCTGCCATTTGGTTGGTGTGTGCTTTGTTTTCAGGATGGATCGAGTTGAGAGTGATGGCGAAAAAGGGTAAACTGATAGTGGAATACACTGGAGCAGAGCAAACTAAATAACCTTATTTGTTTCAGCTGCCTTTTCATCAACCCCCCCCCTCCACAGAAACAGCAGCACATGCATGAAAGGATTCTGGCCAAGTTTGCTCTTACGAAGGTGGTATAGAGTCTTGAGCGAAAGGATTCCCCGGCTGTCCACGCTCCAAATGCCGACTAAAGTGCTCAAAGTACGCTGCCGATTTTTTTTTTTTCCTGAGAAGGGGGTAAAAGCGATCTCGTCAACTCCTCAGCCGAGGGGTCCAACGAGGGTGGGATCAGCGATCATTTCAGTCTGCAACATCAACGATGCCTATCGATCCCTAAGGATGGGATAATCCTAATCGAAGTGTGGCTGTTGTGACACCAAGGTGCCAGGCCAAGGAAATCTACAGGCAGCGACATCAGAGCCCTCGCCCTCTCCCTTATCTTCCTTCCTCTTTCTTCTCTTCCACTCTTCCTTTGTCCCTTTCGTCTCACTTTTTTTTTTCTTTTCCCTCGTGCTCATTCGTTAATCCTCCTTACGCATCAAAGTTGTATCGCTACAATGGCTTACTCAACACTCACCAGAGCCGAGTTGCGAGACCGCATTCGAGGGTGTCTGATCGGCTCCGCAGTTGGCGATGCTTACGGCCTCGCTACTGAGTTCATGAGCCGCAGCACAGTCGAGGTCATCTATGGCAACGGGCCCATAGCCTTCGGACGCGATCCAGGGTTAGTCTTTATAAATGCAGCTCAGTTGATCTTCTGTTCGTTTTCGCTTCGTACATAACGAGCACCAATTGACTTTGTTTAGTTATCCGGTATGGGAGGATCACCATCGATCGATCGCGGACCGAAACGATTTCACAGACGATACCGACCAACTGCTTCTCATCCTTCAATCCCTGCAACAAACGAGAGATGGGAAGCTGGACCCGGTCAATTTCGCTCACAGGCTGCTCGAATGGTTATATCAGGGGATCCCGGAGATAGGTACAGACCCCGGGCGCGGACTAGGTTTTACCGTCGGCCAAGTCATTCACCATCCGTTGTTCAAAAAGAACCCGCACAGGGCAGCATTTGAGGTATGTGTCCTGGTGCCAATTATATCCATATACGAAGCGTTTTCTTCATTGCTCATGTTAATTCGGCGTGGTTGTGGTTGCTGGCTTAGGTGTGGGACGCTTCTGGACGCAATTTAGCCCCCAATGGGGCTGTGATGCGTACAGCTGTTCTTGGTATCGAATCCTTTTGGGATGAACCCCGCGTAGTAGAAAATACGATGGCGGCTGCAAAGGTCACCCACGCGGATCCACGCTCGGTCGTTAGCGCTCTTGTCTCGTCAGTGCTAATTTCGCGGCTCCTTCGCGGAGGCGGGCTTGATGCTGTTCATGATAGCACCTGCATTTGGAACCCCAAGCTAGGTGACCACGAGTATCGGCGGGAGCTGCTCTCTTATCTGCAGCGCGGGACGAACATGCAGCACGGCCAATTCTTAAACCCAGTTTATCCCGAGGCAACCTCATCCAACCAATACCGCCCTAAGGATTATGAGGCACTGGGGGCGAAGCTTTTGGAAGAAGAAGCACAATCCGAAGAGTCATACAGAGCGCAGCTCAAGAACCGCAGTCATTTGGGTTGGAATATGAAACGTCCGCAGGTCATCTTTCGTCCGGATAAAGGCTGGTCTGGCATCGACTGTGTAGGCGAGGATGAGGCTATGGGCGCATTAGCACGTTCTGTTGTAGCCGATTACAAGTTTTTGCTGCAGGAAACTGATGTCGCCCCAACTACCAAACCGGAAGAACAACATTACCAAGAACGATGGGCCACAGAGTTGGAAGCCCATTGTTTCCCACAATCCTTGCGTCAGCTCGAATTGGGTGAAGGCACGAAAATCGGTTATACTTTTAAGTGCATTGGTGTGGCATACTACGGCGCCACTCGGCGTGTGGACCCCTCTCCAACGGCACCAGAGTATAGTGGTCCAGCAGGGCTGTTTCGAGGCGTTATGGAGCAGGTCACTTTGCAGGGCGGGGATGCAGACACCAATGACGCTGTCATGGGCTCGCTGCTCGGTGCCCGGTTTGGACTCGAAAAGGGTATTCCTACTGGCTGGTGGACGGAGCTCCAGCACTTGAAATGGTTTGAAGACACAGTCGATCAGTTCTTAGATCGTGTTCTCTCTCAGTACGATACAGCGGCTATTTAAATACAGGGGTGTGTAATGCTATTTTGAACGAATAAAGGTACTCGTTGGGTAAAAGCGAGCGCGTGCTTTTTTATCTATGTATGTGCTGTATACAGCGATTGTACTTCTAATTTAGACAGTTCGATCTCCATTGGGACGATCCCAGGGCCGGGTGATTGTCTGCAATATGGCCTTGTCAAAGGCAGGTGGGTTGTCAAGATAGAGATGATGGCCAGCGTTCGGAATCCTCATCAGTACGGTCGGCACAGTCATGGATTGCCTTGCTTTCTCGGCCGCTCTATAGTCCATCCAATCGCTCTCACCATCTATGTACATCAACAAAAATAAGGATATGAAAGGTTACTATGAAGTCAGCTCAAACTGGACGGTTACCAAGAGAGATCAGCATAAATATAGCACAACATACATAAAAAGACTGTAGGCATCTTAAGATCTCTGAGTCGATCCATGAGGGGCCAGCGTGCATATGCACCAGGGGCGAGGATTGTCGCCAGTGCATATTCGCCGCTACCACTCTTGGAGGAGATGTGGTAGATGTAATTGTTCAGGTCCCGTTGCTCGTCTTCCTCAAGATATGCAAACCGACGTGAAGTATAAGCGGCCACAAGAGAAGGGCCAAATGGTCCTGTGAATCGCATAATCGACTGTGGGGTGATGTTGCGCTCCCAAGCGCCCATGGCCAACCTGCGCACCCAGCTTGAGCGTGTCGGTGGAGCAGTCGCGTCTTGTTGAGGAAGGGGTGGCTGTGGCTGTAGTTTTATCTGAGGTGCTGACTGTAATTTTGGCTGAACGCTGTTAGCGGAGGTTGCATCGTTTTGCGATGGTGGTTCAGGGAGAGGTGTCCTTTGGGCCTCTGGATTCTCCGGAATACCCACTGCAAGTAGAAACGCATTTGAGGATATATAGCTGGTTAGGGGTGTTCATCATCCATCTGACACGACGCGTTGCGGTATGCTGAAGCAAGGATATCGTCTTACCAGGACTAACAAGAATGAGTTTCTCAACCCGGTCTGGATATTTAAGTGCATAGGCCGCCGAGAGATACCCGCCAAGTGAGTGGCCGATAAGCACCATTTTTTCAATCTGCTGGATCTGGCGCCACTCCTCTAATCCCTCGATGAAAAAGTCTTCAGAATCCTTGACGACCTCCTTGATCGACGTCTTGGGCGTGTGCTTGAACTTGAAATCGGGCCTAGAGCTGCCACCCATGCCAAGCCAGTCGATGGCATATATCTTCGAGTTTGGGATCTGGCTCAGACTGAGGTAATTGCGGAAGAAGAAGCCAAGGCCGGCGCCGTATCCGTGGCAAACAACAATGGCCCGCTCATCCGGTGCAGGAGGTGAGACCATGGACTCTTCATCTGTCGCAGTCTTCATGTCGAGACGAGTCTGGGCAATGGGTGTTCGACCCTGGTCATCAGTTTCTTTGTCTTTGCTCTCGACAGCAGCATCCGAGGTGTCGACTGAGGACGGACTAGAGTTTTGATGGATGACCAGGGTGTTGATTTGACGATTTTTGCCAGAGAGTGGGACGGGCCCAACACGGGCGATGGTTAAGCTGTTGTCGGCACTAGTGGAAGCGACGCCCTTGAAGGAGAAGAACTGGAGACGGGAGAGCAGACGAGCCTCTGCAATCTGGGCCTGTTCCTTGTTGGTCCTGCCCCACCAAGTCTGGAAGGCACCCCATCGCGAGAAGAGTTCCGGTGATGGTGGGAGGGTGTCCGAGGGCATGATGGGGAAGCGGAAACGCGGGCGAACGAGGAGGCGTGGAATGGTGGAAGGGAGTCCGGACAGGTTGGTCGGGCAACTGAGCGAGCAGAGGGCGGTGGCGAGAAGAGCGAGGACGGCCGCCGACGAGTGCGTTGAGAAGAGAGGAAGGGAAGGAGGGCGAGCTTAGGACGGGGCCAGGCTGTAAAGGGGAAGCGGGTGGAGGAGATAGAGACAAGGGTAATGGCAAGGTGTGAAGAAAGAAGGATGTGAGGAAAGAAAGATGTGGAAAGGGCGAAGCGATAAGGAAAGAAATAAAAATAAAGAAATAAAAAGCCGATCGAGCGAGGGGAGTTTGTTCCCCATTTGGAAAAAATGCACTGTTGCCACGCAATCGACTCGTAATCGACCGAAAGAACGCCCAATTGGTCAGCTCATACGAGTCCAAGCCGAGCAAACAAGGTTCGTGGCAGCATCTCTTTCGTCTGGATCATCATCACCATGTCACGCCGTGTTCGGGATCCAATTGCACAGCACTCTGCGAGCCTGTGTGAATACATGAATGCCAGGCCTGCCATCATCCTCTCCTACGCCCGATACTTTGGAGAGTACCCCGAGGCAACCAAGGCGACCATGACTGCGGTTGATCAAGACGGGTTCGATATCGTTTGTCAGGACAACGGTCAGGAGAGGGAACTCAGGGTCACCTTTGGACACTCTTTGCATGCAGTGAGCCAAGTCAAGGACGCATTCATGGCCCTCGCCAGGGAGGCCGAAATCGCTCTTCGGGGCGACGATCGACTCGGCCAGGTACAGAAACGTATCTGACTGAACGATGGCGACACATACACGGACATGTGTACTTGTTTTATGTCGGTATTTCGTTTCCTATTTTGCTAACTGGGCTTCTTTGTGTGTCTGTCTGCAGGACCTTATGCCAGATAGTCCGTCCGTCAGTTGGCCAGGGATTGATCCGGTGGCTGCTTCTGCATTGTTGATCGCCTATACAGCAATCTACCTCAACTATTTCCCCAACACAACGAGTCCAGCTCTGCAATGGATACTTCAAACAATCGGGTCGTCTTCGGTCCATTATATTGCTATGTTGGTTGTAGGATTGCATGTTATCGAATCGGTAGTATCACTTTACTTTACGATTGTCGTAAGTACAGGCTTCTTTGGATCAGTTGACGTTGTGCAGTGGTTCGCGGTGATCTTACTGTTCGGCTATCCATTCCTTTTCAAGCTCATCTCTCTCTCCACCCGACAACAGACTAAAGGGAAGATTGTATAGTGTTATATTGAATTATAAATACTGCCTGTCAGTGTTGCCCAGGAACCACCACATGTACACAGGATTTGATATAAGGATCTGAGGTAGAGCCTGTATAAAAGGAGGATTGGAGCCAGCGGTCTTTTGTTGCTCGTTCCAGTTGAACAAGAAGACCGTTGTGCTGCTCACTCCCTACAGTGTGCGTAGTTTGTGCCTTAGGCCTTCTGATTACGCGTGGAACACAAATTATACAAGTGCAAAAGACCAATCTCCCAGGACAACATCAATTTGATGGGCCGCAGTAAGCCACTGTAGGGAAACAAAAGAGGGTGATCGCATTTCGTCCTCACCTTCCGCCCTCGCTCCCCTTGGTAGACCATCCACCGCTCAATCCAACATCACCTCACGCGTCTACTTTGTATATATAACAGAAGTCAACCCCAGCGTCCATCCTTGTCCCTTCTTTCTTTCTTTTTTTGTTTTTGTTTTTTTCTTTCATTGTCCATTGTGTTCCTTTGTTATCATACCGAATTTGTACGATACACAATAACACCTCGCCAACATGAAGGAGCAGCTTGCGCGATGGAAGCAGACCGGGTCGGACGAGGATCTGTACGTGAAATTACCAGACATATCGAAACAGAATGAATATTCCTGCCAGAGTTTGCAGCTCGGAATCTAATCACGATGCAACCTCCTGCTTTGCCCTGTCCTTGCCCGAATAGACTGAACCACGCATCAACACTCTTGAAAAAGACCACCGATGACCTGATCCCTCCAGTCATGCCGCTTATCCAAGCGGTCCTGTATGCGGCGCTCGATAATGATATCTCGACTTCAGAGGCAGCACTCTTTTTCTCAAAGCTCTTCAGCAGGCAGTCAGATACGGCTTCGATGGACGTTCCTACTATCATCGTCGATATGATTTGGGTTATCGAGATCGAATATGAAACATGCAATCCCAAGAAACAGGAAAGTCTTTGCCTGCTAGCCAAGGCCCTTATCGTAAGTTTCGTGAGCAGAAAAAAAAAACTTGATGCTGAGGATGTGGTCTAAGATGTCTGAACACAAATTGATTAGCGTCTCTTATATTCTTGTATCTGTGATTGATCATTAGGCAAAGGGATTTATTCCAGAGTCCATGATGAGGGAACGCTGGGAAATCGCATTCTTGGAGCAAGTTGGATTGATCTCAAACTCCCAGCAATTTTTAAAGCGTGTCGTCCGCATCAACACCGTACAATCGTAAGTCGGCCCACTTTGACAACGGACACAGTGCGTGCAAGACTCTTCCACAGTGGTTGCAAGGGAGTGTGCCTAGCAATGGCCTAACTCACGTTCCAGGAGCCGCGCGGATAAAGATTGAGATGTCATCACGGCCTTTGCATACGCACATACACACGTTCCTCAAGGACCGGGCGCTCACCTCGCAACCATGTCTCCTTTTTCAACCCACGTCGGTGTACTGTGACTGGACTGTGAATGTCCTTATAGATACAAGCAACAAAAATACAATCTACTGCGAGAGGAATCTGAGGGCTATTCTAAACTGATCACAGAGTTTTCGAGCGGGACCGCCGATCACGAGGACGATGCCGCCACAGCGTACAGGGCCACAGCCGTCCTCAGCAATGTCATGTCTTTGATCGGTAAGTGACTTCGAATCAGGCGTATTTGGCGACATGTTGACTGCATGGAGGATTGCTCAGCATTAACCGGACGTACGATTTATCGCTTAGCTTACTTTGACCTGGATCCGAACCGCGTGTTGGCCATTGCGTTGGACGTCTTTGCTAACAACATTGTAACGCATTACCGGTTCTTCATCGAGTTCTTACGGATTTCGCCATGGAATCCTCAGTCAAAGGGCCATGGAGTTGCAATTCAGAGTGGAGCATGCGCTCATGTCCTCGGTTTCAACTTTCAGGATTTACAGGCAAGTGAGCGTTCGCAAACGTCTCGTTGCCATCTCTGGATTAGGATATCATGCAAATGCGGGATGTCTCAGACACTTGACCAAACGGCTGACAGTGGCGTATGATCCTACTGTGCGTACTTATTCCATTCGACTATTTAGCGCCCAGAAAACCGACACAAGACTCCTTTGGAATGGTATACAGTTACAGCGCTGTTGCTGAGGAATTCCTTCGTTCGGCTCGAAGACCTCTACCCATATGTAAGGCTACTCTGGTTCCGAGGCTCGATACTTTGATGCCGTTTGACAAATTTCTTATTTCTTGTTGAGATTCCGCCGCTGACCTGGTTACCAACCAAACAATAGCTCTCACTGTCAGATGATGCCTTAGATTTGGAGTATAAGACATTCGTGGAAAGCATGAAGGAAAAGGCGCTTGGGTTCAAAAGCAACCCATTGGCGGTATGTACTCGTTTCTTTCTTCTTATATTCCCTCTCTCTGGATGCATGTATTGGGTGATGCATCTTAAATTAATCGCAAAACTACAATAATGTGCTCCTTAGATGGCTGGTGCATTAACGGACGACACTCCGACAGCATCAGCTGCCCTTGGCGACAACGCGGATGAGGCTATGACACTGGCTCCTGAGGCGAATGTAATTCCAGAGTTGCCGCTTCCTAACCAAAAAGTCGGAATCGTGAACGCACTACTTTCCATCGGTGATGTAGAGCACGCCATGTTCATTCTCGCACGGTTCCCACAGTTGACAGCATCCCACCCCGAGGTTGCGGACCTGATCTGTCGTCTGATCCACGTAATGATTCAGGATGTTTACTATGCATTCTCGCCCGTCTCGCGGCACCCAGAACTCGCCAAGCGCCACGGCTTTGTATATCGCTACCCTGTCACCCTCGCCGATCATGAAGTCATCACGCACCGCTCCCTCAACACGCGATTTCCACCCACCACAGGAACGCAGCGTTACGAGTACTTTTACCCCAGCTGGAAGGACGACCTGGTTCGCTGCCGCTCTGTGCAGGACATTATCAATTTTGTTTATCCACTGTTGACTGTGGTCGGTGTTCGGATTAGCCGTGACCCAGGCCTCGTGACTAAACTTTGTCGGATCGGAGCAGGAACGTTGAATCGACTTAACCAACAAATTAAGCAGCTTGAGCTCACAAAGAGTTTGGACAGCTATGGAGCTGAGGGGACAGACAAGGCTGATTCTGACTTGAGCAACCTAAAGTCTGAAATGGACAAGGTGGAGGCTGTCTGGGTTGACATGACGAGGATCTTGTTTTTGCCTACTATATCCGTCCTATATTCCAACACTGGTAGCGTATCATATCTGTCCGAGCAGCTGAGGAAGGACCGTTATTGATCGAGTCGCCGACTAATAGTCTTTATCGATGATACATTGGTTGTTTTTAGGAATCGTGAATGAGGTGTGGCAGGTTCTGAAGGGACTACACTATCAAACACGATACGGACTTTATGGGGAGTGGAAGACAGAGCTGGTCAAGATGTATCCAGAGCTGGTGGTAGCGACTGCTGAAACAGAGAAAGAGGCCAAAAGCGTGATGCGCAGGATCAATAAGGAGGATGCAAAGCAGTACGGGCGTTTGTTTGCTAAGTATGCGCACGCCAATCCACTCAATATCTTTGCGGCGGCGATGAAGCAGCTGGAAGGCGGTTACGACAACATGGTGCAGCCTCTAGTCGATGCCTGCAAGTACCTGACCGATTTTGGTTACGATGTCCTTGGTTACGCCCTCCTGGAATCCCTATCAAAGAAAACGCGGAGCAAGGTTCAGGACGATGGCACAACCGCTGCAAAGTGGATGAATAGTAAGTTGAGCTGAGAGATTAATTGTGCAGCGCTCAGACGCAGCATGTGAACTTGATACTGGTGTCAGAACTAACAGCCGAGTATGACTAATTTTCTTTGTCCTCTGTACTAGCTCTGGCCTCATTCAGTGGCAACCTGTACAGAAAGTACACCTCTGCAGATCTCACAGGGTTGTTGCAATATCTCGTCAACCAGCTGCGACTGGAGAAGGCGCATGATTTAGTAGTTTTGCGCGAGCTCCTGTCGAAGATGGGCGGCGTGGAGGACTCCAGCAATTTGAATGCATCTCAGCTGCTTGCCATGGCGGGAGGCGACCTGTTGAAGAACGAAGTGCTTTTTGGAGGAGTGACTGGAGCTGTTATGAAGAAGAACACTAGGAGTTGTCTCCGACTGCAGGACGCTATGATGCATGATAACATTGCCAGTCAGCTATTGGTGCTGCTTGCCCAACATAGACAGGAGTGCGTTTTCGGAGCGGAAGACATACCGCACTTGAAGGTCCTTAGCAACATTTACGACCAAGCGCATGCTACTTTGCTGCAGTTCATGGAGTTTCTGTCGTCCAATCTCCAAAAGGAGTATCCTCGTCTGGTCCCATTGCTTGTGGATCTTTGCCTCAAGTACAAGATTGAACCCTCAATGGCCATGCACATCGCAAGACCAAAGCTGCAGGACATAACTCGGGTGAGAAGGATGTGGCCAGAAGGGCTTTCTTCACGTAATGGATGTTATTATGTACGTTGTTGCTCATATGTCGTTCTGGTCATCATTTGTTTGTAATAGAAGGAGCAGAAGCTGATGACTGTTATCAAGAACAAGGTCGAGGGCAATATAAACGCTGACGCGCCCGAAACTTCGAGCTCTATGGAGATCGACACGCAGGAAGCGGGTAAAACTGATCTTCCATTGGAAGAGGATGCATGGCTACCATGTCTAGGACCGATCGCTCAAGAAGTCCGCAAGATTCTCCCACCAAGGGCATGGCGAGGAATGAAACCACAGTTCTACATTGCCTTTTGGCAGTTGACGCTCTACGACATCTACGTTCCTGTGGAGCAATACAAGGCAGAGATTGCAAAACTGAAGCATGCCGTGAACACGATGGATGCAGACCGGACGGTCTACAGTTCAAGTGCACAGGCGAGGAGGAATCGCGAGAGAGAGCGTCTTTTCCATACTGCGGCCAGACTTGACATGGAGATGGAGAATCAACTTGCCAACCACAAGAATGTCATGGAACGACTTCGTCGGGAGAAGCGCTATTGGTTTCAAGGCTGTACGTATACTTAAAGACCGCTGATTATGTTTGCTTCTGCTAATGTAATAGTATCTTATCTAATCTAATCTTATCTAATGGGATTGGATCTATTTTGTTGGTAGTGGACTCGGATCGTCAGGAGATCATCGGCCAAGTCATCCAGCACTGCATTTACCCCAGAGCGATCTTATCTGGTTTGGACGCCATGTTCTGCGCAAAGTTCATTCAAGTGCTGCACTCGATTGGCACTTTTAACTTTTCAACATTAACGCTTTATGACAAGGTGTGTGCTTGTTCATGTCCTGTTTATCCAGGCTTAGTTAGGAAAGACTTCAGGCATACTAACTTCATCTCCTTCCTTTCCATACGCATTCTAGTTGCTTTTGGAGCCTGACCGTCTTTTGTTCTTGTCATCCGAGAACGAGGCCAAAATGTTTGGTCGTTTCCTTTGCGAGGTCTTGTCAAGTCTGTCCCGCTGGCATGTAAACCGAACGCTTTATGAAGAAGAGGGCCGAGGTAACAACCTGCCTGGGTTCCAGTGCAAGTGGGCCTCGCCGAATACAGATGGCACAGATGAGTACTTGGACTATGAGCAGTTCAGGCACGCACTCTACAAGTGGCACACCATGTTGTATCGGGTAAATCATCAGATCTCAAGCGCTTGCACGTCTTCCTTATGTATCACACCCACTAACTCTCTCTCACCTATACGACGCCCGGTTTGAGCTAGATGTTTGCTTCTGCATTGGAGTCGGCAGAGTACATGCGGATCAAGAACACAATCATAATCCTGCGAGAGATTGCTCCATGCTATCCCACATTGTCGGTGGTAGGAACACGGCTCATGAAGATTATCAAGACAATCGCCGGCAATGAACAGAGGGACGACTTGAAGCTTCTGGCGAACGCCTACGCGGGCGTTTTGAAAAAGTCCAAGGACAGCAACAAGTGGATGCCAGTAGCGCAGTTCCACATTCACAGGTCAACAGCCGAGTCGAGTACTATCAGTGAGAGCGCTGCAAAAGACAGTGCCGCCGCCTTGGGCGACCCTAGCCGCTCCAGCCCAGATCAGTCAAAAGCGAGTCCCGCCAAACTGCCAGAGTCCAAGAATGACCCAAAGGACTCTGACGAGCGAAGGTAATATGCTGCTGACTTGTAGTTAAAGTGCAGACATCCGTACTCTGCGTCGCCTTTAATATTGATTTATACCTATTTATTCTACAATTCTTATGTCTATCAGTGGACGACAGTCGACTATTAACCCAAGTTATGCTTCTCAAAATGCAAGGGATCGGGTTACGTCTGTAAAGGACTCACGAGTTGGAGGAACTATATCACCGGGAGGGGTCGGACGAAGAAGCGTTGTACCATTGCCACCAAAACCAGGTACGCCGGTTTACGAAGGTCGACACGACCATACAGCAAATTTTTCTGGCAGGGATGGTCGTGAGCAGGCGTCGAGAGACAGGGATCTGCCAGGTGTTAATCTGTCGCGTTCCGACAAGCCGCCTGAACTCCTTGTGATTTCTCTGAAGAACGGACCGCGCGACACACAGGATACCAAGGACTTGAACAAGGACCCGAAGCGCGAGGCTAGAGATGGGGCTAGAGATGGACCTCGAGAAAATACAAGAGATAATACGAAGGAATCTACCAGGGATCCTCCGAGGGATTCAACCAGGGATCCGGCAAGGGATTCTATTAGAGACCCTACTAGGGACAGCGTCAAGGATATCGGCAGGGATTACCATCGCGACAGTAACGGCCACCGTGACAGCATCAGGGACGTAGGAGCTCGAGAGAGAATGCGGGATTTAGGAGACGGCGCTGATCGCGATCCTCGTAGCGAGATAAAGACTTCGTCCCTCTTGTCGCCAGATCTTCGTGATCGTCGCGACCTTCGAGATCCTCGCGACCCTCGTGACATTGCCGCGAGTCGAAAGGAGCTGAGGGACTCCGCACCGCGAGACCCCAGGGATAGAGACCCTCGAGAGCTGATTCGCACCGACACCCGAGATGGACGTGATGCTCGCGACAGCAGGGCTCAGGCAGGCTCTAATCGCGATGGTCGCAGAGATCGACAGAGGGCCGAGCCCAGCCAAAGAGATCAGGATCGACGCACATCTGACCGTAGAGATCCTAGGGACAGGGACGAGCCTACACAGAGTAGCCGAGCTAGAGTCCCATCTCCCAGACGAGGCGATGACAAGAGTAAAGCGGATGGACGCGATCGAGATGCAGGCAATAGCTCGCGGGATCATAATGCTGGTGGCCGTTCAAACAGTCGGACCAGGGACTCACCTTCGAGAAGAGTTGATGATAAAGCCAAAACAGGCGATCGGGATTCAAGGGACACTAGGGACTCCAGAGATGCCGCGTCATCCGGCAATGGGTCCCGGGATCAGAATTCTGTCGCTCGGTCCACTGCACGCGAAGAGCAGGATCATAGCCGTGAGGACTTGCGTGACGATGGCCGTTCCTCGTTACGTCGCTTGGGATCATCACGGCAGGAATCGTCGCCGCGACAGGAGCTTTCATCTCGTGATCGGGAAGCAAGGGATCCGAGGGATACTAGAGACAGTAGGGACTCTAGGGACTCTAGGGACTCCAGGGATTCCAGGGACAGCCGAGATAACAGGGACACAAGGGATACCAGAGATGCCAGAGACGCTAGGGATTCCACGCCATCAGGCGCTGGTTTTCGAGAAAACAATCCTAATACCCACCAAAACAGCCGTGATATTCCAGATCATATCCGTGAAGAGGTCCGCGATGACGCTCGTCCCACTTCAAGTCGTGGAGGGGTTCCATCAGGTTCATTGCGGCAGGATCCTTCGTCTCGTGACAGAGGTTCTCGTCGACAGGAAGTGGCTCAGGAAGGTAAGATATCAGTCCATTTCGACTTGGAGAAAACTTTGACAGCAAACTGCCAATGTACGCTGCTTACCAATATCTATGACGTTTTTTGTTACAAGCTGTAGGTGAGGCACGGAGATCGTCTAGAGAGTCTCAGAACCGGTCAGAGCGCTCATCAGAATCGGGTGATCGAAAGCGTGGACGAGAGAGCCGTAACGCCAGCGTTGATAGAGAAAAGGATAAGGACCGGGAGAGAGATAGGGAATCGAAACGACGTCGCGAAGGCTCCGTTGCGGATACGGCCAAGGAAGGAGGAGCCAGGAGCTCGAGCTCCAGCCGCAAGCGACATATTGAGCCGGATGAAAATCGCGACTCTCCCTCAACTAAAGAGCGGTCCCGTGAAGTGTCTTCGTCGCTTGCAACAGGTGCAGGAGCAGAAGCCTTGAGTGCTGATAGCATGGCCATGCCACCTCCACCGCGGACAGAACCTATTGTTTCGGTGCCTGTTGATGCAAATGCATCGACTGCGAAACCAACTTCTAGCACGCCATTGCTCACCACTTCGGGAACCAAAAGGATCAAGTTGAATCGTCCGACAGACAGCGGCAGCCCTTTGGCATCGCCTCTGCCAACCGCGACAAACTCACCAACCTCTGCAACGCCACGCAAGGAAAGCGAGCTATCGTCGCAGTCCTTGGCTGAGGTGGGGCTCACGACAAGCTCCCTCCGTTCCAGATCTAGTCATACTGAAGTGCTCGAGACCGGAATCTCTACTGCAAGGGCTTCTGAAGAGGATTCGAGGCGCGAGTAAGTGCTCTTTCTAATTGTTTTTTTTGGTCTTGGGCTGTATTTTTCGTGAACTTTATATTAACTAGCATAATCGCGTGTTTCAGTCGTAGAGTCGAATCCTCCCGGTCAAGAGAGGCTGGCAACAGCTCAGGCCATGGCTATGGTCGTAGCAGCGGCAGTGGCGGCAATGGTGGCGGAGGCGGAGGCTCCAGTAGCGGAGGTCGTCGTCGCCGACGTGCATAAAGAAAGGGTCATTTAGTTCTTGGAGGCAGCATCGGCACCATTTCATATTTTCGTATTCTTCTAGCGTTTAATATATTTATTACAGCGCGCGTTTTTCTATGGTGAAGATGAAGTGGTAATAATGGAAATGGTTAGGATAAGGCCGGTTAATATATGGTGAACAAAAACAATGGATTTGCATCGGTCCTCGTCATGGCACTTACCATCGTAGTACCAGGTGCGGACGGTCCTGTCATCGCTAGAGCTAACAAACATGCTTTGCTTTGGAGACCAGACAGCGTTGTATACCATGGCTTCGTGTCCCTGCAACTTTTGAAGTATATCTCCGGATTCTTGATCCCAAATATAGACTAGTCCGTCCTCCGATCCTCCTACTAGTAACGAGTTATGTGCAAATCCAGCCCGAATGAAGTTTTTGGACGTGTTCTGGTGGCCCTTTAACTTACGCAGTGGCCGGGTCTGGCAAGTGGTACCGATGAAAAAGCATCGTTGCATTAGTCAACCAGCCAAGTATAATACGCATCCTGCTTAGTGGTTTGGTATCAGTCTTACCATGCGAACGTCCCAGAGACGATTAGAGTTGTCTTTGGAGCTGCTCAGAAGCAGGGTGCCATTGGAGTTCATGGCGACAGAAGTAACTTCACCCAGATGTGAGGTGATAGTCTTAATACACACGCCAGAAATTAGGTCCCAGAACTTAATGGTATTGTCTTTGGATCCGCTCACGATCAAGTTGCCGATTGGATTAAGGATGACCTTGGAGACCGCCAGTTGATGTCCACTGAATGTCTTGACGACTTGTCCAGTCGTCAGGTCGTGCAGCCTGACAATCTTGTCATATCCACCAGAAACAACGTGGTTCTAAAAAGTAATAAAACACACCGACGCGTTTAGAAATGGTAAGCTGAGCTAGTTCCTGTCAATTACTTTGACGAAGAAAATTTGAGATGTCAGCTTACACTAGTCGGGTGGTATTTTACTGTGTAGACATCGCCGGAATGGCCCCCAAGAGTTGCTCGGCATTGTGCCTTTGGACCCTTGATATCCCAAATTTTGACAGTCGAGTCACCACTGGCACTAGCCGCTGTCGTACCGCCGTCGTTTGACGACACGTCCCAGATCCTGGAGGAATGACCTTCTAGAATGTGGAGGCAGTTGCCCGTTTCCGTATCCCAGATACGCAGTGTATTGTCGCTAGATCGTAAAGGTGTACAGAGGCGCAAATGATCAGACTTCAACATAACACGTGCAGAAGTAAATGCATAGGAAGGAACCTTACCTTGATCCAGATATGATCGAACGCCCCTCGGCACCTACAAAATCAGCGCACTTTACATTGCCACGATGGCCTAGCATGACTGTTCGCGTTGCATTAGGGATTACGAATGGAGAAAAATCCTGTAATAGCGTCTCCACGATAGGCGAAATCCTTGGGTGATATCGCGAGACCTCGATCTGATACGCAACTGCTTGGCGCAGCAAGTTGAGCAATCTATTCGGAGGCACATATACCGATCCTATTTGAGTTTAAGTTAGCGAAGATCCACCGTCATTCATAATAAAAGTTGAATTACTAGGGAAACTGTACCATCCTTGACAGAGTTTTCGACCTCAAGCATGCTTTGAAACTGCTCCACCAGCCTGTCTCTTCCTTGAGCAATTCCCTCCCAGTTCTTAAATGAGGGCGCGTCATGGATTGATTTTGTTGTGAGAAGGTAGCACAAGTCCTTGAACTCGATGGGCGTCTTCTGATGCTGCTCGAGAGGCTTAAGACGCTTTTGAAGAAATGTAAAGGCCTGTGCAATAGGAGAATTTAGTAATTAATGATTGTATTTGTCAAGGTTGAGGTCCTGCAAATGAAGTCCTAAGAGAAAAAAAAGACGCCGTATCGAGATCGGTGAAGTATACCTTCTGCATCTCACGGTGTTCGATGTATTCCAAATACTGCTGCTTATAAACTGCGAAGAGAAAGCTCTTCTGGTTCTTGAATAACGGCTTCGAACAGATCTTGTCGACCTCTGCCCACTCCCCATCTATGACAGCAATGAGGTATACCAGTATTAGATATTTACTCGATATGATGCCATAAACGCACAGAAATGCGAATAGTTTTACATACCGATAATGGCCTTCTTTAACCGGCGTGTTTCATTCGTGTCGTCCTCGCGCTCATGCCATTTGACGTTAGATTCGTCTTGAATTGTCGTTTGAGAGGCATTGTAGCCCTCGTCTGCAAGGTACTGCATGATCATGCGGATGATATCCTGTAGGTCATTGTCCATTGGGTACAAATGCGTAAGGACCGTTGCCTTGTCAGAGAGACATGGAGTACTCAAGTGAGCGATAAAGATAAGAACTTGCGTACCTCGCGAATGTGCGGATCATTTGGGTTGAAGATGTCTTCGGTGGGCCGTATTCTATTGGGATTCATGCCAACATGGCTGTGGGTAGCTGCCATGGCAGGCATCCTATATAAATAGCCGATATTGGTCCAAAGTGGAGGTAATAGTAGTAACTTTATCGTTAACCGCCAAGTTCGGTACCACGCGCACTCTTGATTTCCCAAGTATCAGTAGAGAAATGTAGAAGATGCGGACAAAAATGCTTTACGTCCTCTTGGTAGATCCAATGTCCTGACTGTTTCCGATATTCATGGCGTGCTCAGAAGAGTCAACCTGGGCGAGTTCAGCGCGATGGGAGATGTCCTTGTCTAAGGTCGTCATTCAGTAGCTGGGCTTCAAGAATGCACAGAGTTCAAATACTGGTATAGTCCTAACTCTGCTCCCGGTTCCTCTGAGTCGGTTAGTACGTAAGTGATCAACGATGTAGAGGGTTGCGGAGTCGATGGGCGCCGAAAGAAATACGAAAACGGTCACCGTACCAATGCAGCTGCCTGCACCTTTGCTTTGATTGCCTGCAACATCCCTTAGCGCTTACGACCCCGCAACGCCCATCTTAATAGCCCATCAAAGGAGCGCGTACACCAGGACGATCGCCATGATGAACAGGGACATGCTTAAGCTTCGAAAGGATCCAACCATCCCGCCATCCGCCGCCACTGTCACGCCATTGAATGCAACTGCAGTCTCAGGAAGAGGAAGCGGCTCTCGAAATCGCACTTCGCCGAAAGGATCACGATCGGGATCAGGGTCGGTATCGGGACATGCTTCTTTAGCCGCTGCGGCTGCATCGTCGACTTCAGCAACATCGAATCACTCTGCTCCCTCAACCTTGGTTGCAGCCGCGTCCACAACAGCAGGGACGTCGGGTTCTGCCTCGACAAATGGCTCTAGCTTGGGTGTCAGCCAAGGCGGTCCTAACCAAGGCACAGGGGCTGGTTCAGGATTATCGGTAATGCAAGGAAACGGACATTCTCAGCTCTCATCGCGTACCAATGGGTCAACTGGGACATCCAGGCAGAATATGACCCAAAGTGGGACTCCTTATACCTTCAAATTTGACACCAATGGAGCGCTATGGGCTCTATCAGCATCACCAGACTATTCAATGGTTGCAGTAGTGGGTCGCGATGGTAAACTTGACATTGATGACATAGGACAATGATTCGAATTGCTATTGTTTTCTAGTACTGCCTTTATTGATCGAAGGTCGTCTTCTACAAACCACAGTGCTAAAGATCCTTAGCGTCACAGATACTGGGGCCGAGGAAACAATCAACCTAAAGACTGTGGGGATCCGGAACAATTTTACAGGAAGCACGGATGTCAAATGGGGACCTACAACAGGTAGCCAGGCCTTTCTACCACAAATGCATTCAATATAATGTTTGGATTTTGCAGCTAACAGGATGAACTCCTCTAACTCTAGGTAGAGATGCAAAAATTGCGACAATAGGCACAAACGGACCCATCGTCATTTGGGACGTTGGAACCCATAACAAAATCGGTAGGACCAATTTTCAGGGCATGCTTACGTGTGAAAATATCCTGAGAGGGAAACTGAAGACCAGACGGCTTACGGTTTGTCTCCATGCTACCCCTCTACCTGAAACTCGTTGCGATAAGATCGAACTATCAAGGAGCACACGAGATCGGTCCATCGGATATGTTTTTCACCACAGGAGCCGAATTTACTTTTGAGCGCATCATCAGACTCAACAGTCCGTCTTTGGGTAAAGAGCCGTGCCATCGAGATACTTGATCCACAAATCAATGTTTTGATCTGCAATCTTGATTCGTAGCCCAAATAACACATGTATATCCCTCTTTCTTTCTTTTTTTTTTTTTTTTTTAAACGCTTTATAGGACTTGCGCCTCCGCGGTAGGCCAGGATTGGTGATGGAAACAAAGGATATTGTTCGGGAGGTTCAGTTCAATCCTGTATCAGTGAACGATATTGTAGCTGGCTACGAGAGCGGGAATATACAGGTAAAGCTCACTCTCACCATGTCAACCTCAAAGATCATATATTTCAGCAATTCAGGTGTTGCTGCTTATGGCCTTTGTCCTACTTTCTGCAATACTCGGTAGCGATGGGACCTCCGGAACGTGAGCGCAAGCGAGAAAAAGTTTATGGCGCACATGGGATTCGTAACATCCCTCGATTACCATCCTAGCGGTCGCTTTTTGGCCAGCGGTGGCCGCGATAGGACCATTAAAGTAAGCCATAGGGTTCTTTGGTCTAGCATATCAATGTTCACTTGCTTCATGCTTGGTGTCAAGGCCATTTTCGGCCGTCTAATCAACCCCGGTTGTAAACCGTAATAGGTCTGGGACATGGACGACGAGAAGCGGAGGGAAATCTACATTATACCCACCATCCAGTATACCTCGAAAGTGCAGTGGCGACCAAACCGGCCTTACCATCTTGCTGCTAGTTTCAAAGACGAGTCCACAGTTCAAATTTTTGATGTCCGGCGACCGTTTGTACCCTTACATGTCCTTACGCAGCACGACAAGGATGCGACAGCTATTCTCTGGAAGGACTCGGATGTGCTCTGGACGGTGTCAAAGGACAAGACGTTCGCCTCTACTCTTATAAAGGGTCAGACTCAATCTGCCGATTTGCTACCCAGCGGAAAGGCTGCCATGAACTGCTATGGACAAGTGGCGTTTACAGTTCTGAGCAAAGGTGCACTCGACTCATTTGAAAAAGACCTCATCGCACGGCCTGGACGGCCAAATGCGAAATCCATGGCGCTTGATGGGAGCTCAGAGGTAGAGGACCTTCAGGACTCTGTGCAGGTCGAAAGGAGAACCAGAAATTGTTACTAAGGCTGCAGCTAATTTCTTTGCTGTCTCCTTTCGTATGTGCATATTTTACAACTAGGCAACTGTGTATCGCACAAGGCAAACAGGAGGTGTCTTTGATTGTGAGTTGTTTAACCACGAATCATTCATATACTGCGCTCAAAACTATTCAACCGAGGCAGGCAATGTTCGGAACGCATGTGAACACAACTCAAATATTGCATGGCAGGCCAACAAATTTCGCGATTCTCAAACCTGGACAGCCATCAAGTTGTTCTATAGCGATATGGCTGAGTCTGCTATGGTCGTATCTCAGGGTGAGTCTCCGTCAAGAACAAAGACAGGATCATGGTATTGGCTTGATTATCTTTATCAGAGAGCAACACATACTGATCCACTCCATTTATCGCTCTTTTCTGGTGCTTGGCCTTTTCAGTCGAAGCTGCTTCAGCCGAAGTGACTGTAAGTAATGGCGATCTTTGAAGAGCAGCTCTTCAGTGTACCTAATGCTCATGAATACGCCGCCCGTTTATTTTACTATGATTTCTAGACCACCAACAGGCCCAAGGACGGCCAACCAAAGGATGATGGAGATGAGGACTCAGATGATCTGGAGATGCACGTATCTAGACCTGCTGTTCCCAGTTTATTCGCCATAAAGGTCTCTGATGCGCCTATAAAGCGGGATTGGTCGCACAAGGAGACGATCCGCAGCTTGCTGGAATATTACGCGGAGCAGGGCGAGGTGCAGATGTGTGTTACCATATTACTTGTGCTTGCAGACGAGAAAGATCTTCCAGAGTCCAGTCGCTCGCAACAGTGGTTTGGATCCTACATTGATTTGCTGTCTCGATTCAAGCTCTGGAGCATCGCAACAGCCGTCTCGCAGGCCTGCAAGGACCCTAGCATCCATACGATGAACCAGGACTCCACAACTATTCACACATCCTGCTCAAGCTGCATGAAGCCCATTTTGACCAGGGCACCTACGTCGACTGGATTTTGGGCCTGCGATCGATGTCGCAAGGTCCTCAGTTCCTGCTCGATCTGTCACAAGACTGTGCGAGGTATCTTTACGTGGTGCACACATTGCTCTCACGGATTCCATCTACAGCATGCGCAGGAATGGTTCTCGCAGTCTGCAGAGTGTCCAACCGGTTGCGGTCACCAATGCTTTCCTGAGATGTTCAAGATTCAGCAGGAACAGGAGCAGCAGCAGCAACGCCAACTCCAGCAGCAGTTGCTACAACAACAAACGCCTGATGATGATGCCGTACATGACCTATCCACAGCATACCACCACCCGCGCCCTCATCATCCACTTCAGGAGCAGGCCTCCTATCCCCCACATAGTCATTCACGGATGGGCGAGGTTTTGGAAAAAGGATCATCCCCATTACCCTATGTAACTTACTCAGGCACCAATTCCTTCAGTAATAAAATGTAATTCCATTACACCTTTATTTGTCAAATGCTTAAAAAAAATCGAAACCAAGAAAAAAAAGTGCCGAGGGGTTAATGAGGGTGAATAGAGTCTAGAGGGTAAAAGTGCTTAGACCGGACGCATGTGAGGGAAGGCCAATACCTCCTGGATACGGTGCGAGTCCGTCAAGAACATGGTGAGGCGATCAATACCCATACCCCAACCTCCCGTAGGGGGCAGACCGAACTCGAGTGACTGACAGAAATTTTCATCAATCAACTGGGCCTCGTCATCACCGGCAGCCTTGTCGCTGGCCTGCTGCTCGAAACGCTCGCGCTGATCAAAGGGGTCGTTCAACTCCGTGTAGGCATTGCAAATTTCCTTGGTGGCAACAAAGCATTCAAAGCGTTCGCAAAGACCAGGGACAGTACGATGGCTCTTAGCCAGAGGAGACATCATTTGAGGGTGGCCCATAATGAAGGTGGGGCTGATGCACTCAACCTCGATGAAATCGCCGACCAGCTTGTCCAAAAGACGAGCGCTTGTGCGGGGAGCGCCGCACTCAACGTTATGCTTGATGCAGAGGTCGCTCAAAAATTTGGTGGCCTCAGGCGTGTGGAGGGTATCAGCAGGAGGGAAGGTGACTTTGAGCTTCTCCTCGAGATACTCGATCATGTTGATGCGCCTGAAGGGAGGAGTAAAGTCAATCTCCATGGTGGGGCCATCCTTGCCCTGTGGGTGATAGGTAATCTTTGTCTTTCCAGTAATGGCCTTAACCATGCCAACGAGAAGGGCCTCCGTCATCTCCATGACATCAAACATGTCGGCGTAGGCCATGTAGAACTCTGCAGTGGTGAACTCGGGGTTGTGGGTCAAATCCATGGACTCATTTCTGAATTGGCGACCAATCTCATAGACACGATCCAGACCTCCGACAACCAACATCTTTAAGTAGAGTTCGGGAGCGATACGCATATGCAATTCCATGTTAAGGTCGTTGTGGTGAGTGACAAAGGGCTTGGCAGTGGCGCCTCCAGCGATCATGTTCATCATGGGCGTCTCGACCTCCAAAAAGTCCTGATCATCCAGAAACTTGCGGAGATAGTTAATGATCTTGGCCCTGGTCTTGAAGATATCACGGACGTGGTTGTTCATGATCAAGTCGAGATAGCGCTGTCTGTAACGCGACTCCTGATCCTTGAAACCAAAGTGGGTCGTGGGCAGCATGCGAAGGCAGGGTGAGAGCAAAATGATGTCGCGGGGGAAGATGGAGAGCTCTCCATCCCCGCCCTTCTTGGGCTTGGTGCGACCAGCAACACCGCGGACCCCGACAATATCACCGCGGCGGAGGTTATCGTGCACCTCGCTGAAGTCGCGCTCGGAGTCCTGAGCCTGAGCCGTGATCTGGATCTTGAGCCCATCCGAGTGAAGATCGTAAAAGCGGAGTTTACCCATGGTACGCATGTTGTGGAGACGCCCAGCAACGGTGACGACCTCCTCCTCCATGTCTCCAGCTTTCAGTCCGCTGTACTTCTCAATAAATGCCGGCAATGAGATCGAAACATGGAACTTATGGGGATAGGGATAGGTCTCCTTGTTGGCACGAAGAACGCCGACCCTCTTAGAGCGAATCTCAAAGTATTGCTATTTTAACGATCAACAACAACGACGAGGGTAACAGTAAGAACAAAACAAGGACGAAAGGAGGTTAGAAAAAGCAAAGAGCAACAGGGCAAAGACAGAGAAAATGAATGCAAGAATACTCACGTTGGGATTGAGATTCTCCTCCTCCTCGGCTGCAGAAAGAGCCTTCTTGGCCTCTGCCTTCTCAGAGATGGCAGGAGTAGGAGCATTAGCAGCCTTCTCAGCCTTCTTGGCTTCCTTTTCCCTGTTCTTGATTCGCTTCTTCAGCTCGCTATGATCAACCACAAATCAGACCGACAGAATCAAGTACTCCCGTTAATTTGATGAGCATATAAACAACGTGCTGAAACGAGGCAAGGCTGGAGAAAGCGAAGGTGAAGGCGATGCTGGAGCGCCGTGTTGCTGTCTCCTGTCTCCCCATAAGTGCTGGACATAGACTTCCTTGTGCAGCCAGCAAGTGATTGGTTGGCAAACAAACAAAGAGAGGAAGTGAAAGAGAGATCGATCCTTGAGCGACTTACGTCTTCGAGACCATCTCACCGGTGGCCTCGTCCTTGTAGAGCTTGATCTCCTCGGTGGGAGCAGCGGGGTTAGTGGTGTCGGCCATGTTGGTTATGAAGCAATGTAGGAAAAGGGGATGATGGGAAAGGACAAAAAACGTATGGCTTTTAAAAGTAAAATCGTAAACAAACCGAAACTCAAAAAAATGGTCTTTATCGATCTGGGAGGTGCTGCTGACTCAACATCTACTCACACCCTGTCCAAACTTAGCCAGAAGAGTTTCTACTTTCTACGCCTTGCCCGGACACAGCACACAGCAACTGCGCCCCTTTGATGCTCCCTCTGCTTTCCTTACGCACTCCTTCGTCCCAGCCGCATCCCAAGCGAGTGGTCATGTTCAGCACTACAAAAATAGGAAGGAGGGAGCGTCTTAGGATCCTTTTCACTTCTTACCAAGTACCACGAATACGGGCACTTGACGAAAATGTCGCAACTTTGACCTGAATAAAGTATTTCTTGCGCCCCACATCCACAAAGCGCTCCCTGTCCACAATGCCCAATGTGAAAGCGCGTTCATTTCCCGCCATAGCAAACGGAGCTGTACCGCTCCACGGCGCCAGAGCTGCTCTAGAAAAATTGGCACCATCTTCGCATTCGACCACTAATCTTAGACGACCGCATGTGCGCACTTTTTTCGTCGCAGAACGCCAATTTTTAGAACACTAATGTGATCTGTTGTCACCTTTTTAAAGTGATGCCGATTGATAGGAGAAACAGGCACCAAATAAGTCTTATCAAGAAGAGATGGTTCCGCGAGGCCCACCAAGACAACACCGAGCCCGACTTGATTAAGGAGCCATTCCTGTTCACCACCTAGAATGAGGCAATTGGCGACGTTGAAAGAATGCGACCACTGGGTTGCGTAGGAAACGTCGACAGCCTCTTCATTTCAGCAAGAACAATGAAGCCAAATCCGAAGATCCTGTCCCAGATGAAGCTGTACGACGAAGATAAAGGAGGTGACGGAAAAGATATTCCTCAATCTGGAGCTGACTGCGAGAGTGATCAACATGCTCGAAAATGAAATAGTAGGGAATAATGGTGTTTACGACATGCAAGATCCTCGCAAGGTCAGCGTTAAAGGAAGGCCCAGGGAGAGGCGAATCAAGAGCAGTATTGAATCGAAAGGTCAAACACGCAGAGCAACACCAAGGCTAATGGCAAAACAAAGGACGAACCAAAGACATTTCAGGGACTGTGGGAGTGAACTATAATGGAGGATAATAATAATTTATAAAAAAGACGCGCCAAGCGGCAAGAAAAAAGTATCCGATGGTAGCGTGCCAGCAGCGCTATAAGCGGCGGTAGACGCGAGTTGAAGGCTACCCGACGCGTAAAGATGAAGATTATGGCGCTACAAGTTTGCAGCTATGTAGAGACGTACCCCTCGACAAACTCCGGTCGTCAAATAACGAAATGTGCCATATCATAATACACCTGTTGACAAATCTATTTAGTTATCAGTTCCCCTCCTGCTCATAAACCTCTTCATCGTCTGCCTTGTCCAGAGTCCTGGATTCCATAAAAATAAGATCGAGACCAATCATCGCACTTTAGGAATTGCCAACTCTGGAGCTCCTGAAATCCTCCAGTCGCGTCGCGGGCACTCAACTGTGATACGAACTCCGCATCTTCTGGTCCCAAGGCCAATGACGGCGGGAACGCTTGGTTAGCAGTATCCACTGGCAACAGCAGCAGGAGGAGCAGCCTGCTCAAAAGCTGAGCTCAGAGGATGGTCGGCTTTTTGACCTAGGAGGGGCGTGTGAGTCGTCACCGTTGGAGCATTAAAAACGCACCAACTACGTCAGCAAAAGGCGACGCCATAGAATTTTTTTGGTGAGCATAAGCAAATACATGCAGTAAAAGAATTTCGGCGTGCAATAACAGAATTATGCAGCTTTAGGATATAAATTACACCTACCGATCATTTTTAAATGTGCTTGCGAACACATATATGGTTGAGATGGGGTTTAGGCACTTCCTGGGGCCTGGCTAGTTGCCGATTCCTGCCCTGATGCCGCATTGGCCGCACGCTTGCGCCTTGGAGCTCCTTCTTGTTCTGCAGCCGCGGTTGATGCTGTCCTCTTTCGGGCCACACTGCCCTTGCTGGCGCTGGTGCTGCTAGTACTACTGGTGCTATTGGTGCTGCTAGTGCTACTGTTACCATTGATGCTGCTAGTGCTACTGTTACCATTGATGCTGCTAGTGCTACTGTTACTAGTGATGCTGCTGCTACTGGTGCTCGCGCTATCGGTTACTGTCTGTGTAGCTTCCATCCAAGGATATCTACCATTCTCATCTACAGGCTGAAGATAGAGTGGCCTCTGTTGCTGAAGCAAGTGCCCTTGAATAACGTTGCAAATACTGTGGCCCGCCATGATATCGCGGTGCATGTATGTCTTGCAAGTCTTGCAATACAGCCGACGTATTTGAACCTGGCCGACAAACTCCTCGCACATCGGACACTTCTTTGACGTGTAGTACTCATTGACGCCCACGACAATATACCCGAGCGCCCTTGCCTAACGGACACAGAACGTAAGGCGCCTCATTAGCGTCATCAGTAGCTTTTTTTTTTTTTTTTTTTAAAAAAAAAAAAAAAAAAAGAAATCGAATGTCTTGCAATGAAGCACTAACCCTTTGAACAAAGTACGATTGGAAGGACTCATGTAACGAGGAAAGTCGTCTCGTGGATGAAAACTTGCCTAGACCAATGCCGATTACAACCTTGTCCTCTTCATCTCGCTGTCTACCAAGCGATCCTCCAACCATATTGAGCAGGCGATCTGCGATGATGTCGAATTCTGCCTCTCTAGCTTTTCTGGCATCCCACTGGTGCTTTTTGAATGTGGCGCTTTTGTTGTAGAACTCGTCGAGCTGCTCCTTTGCAAATAGTCAGAAGTCGGAGGGGTTCTAGGGTGGAATCAGAGGTTTATTCGATGATTGATTGCTGTCTAATCCTACGTTTGAAGGGCTCTTATATACTAAACACAGTTGTGTTGGAATGCTCTAGAAACTAGGCGCAGCATGGTTATGACCATGACATCATTCTCGAATAAACAGTTGTACCTGTTGCACCTCCCCATCTTAAAAAAAAACGTTACTCCTTTTCGCGCTTGGCCTCGAACTCTGCTAGGGCCTCCTTAGCATTGACCAATGACGCCTTTGGCTCCCAGGTTGCCTTTTCCAGTGGGTATCCTTTCCATTGAACGAGCCATTTAGGTGTCCTACCAAATATTTTGTGATCCAGAATGCGTTCTACTTCGAACTCTTCTTCTCCATCAATGAGCTCTGGTGAAGGTCGAGGCGGTATGCGATCGCCGAACTCAGTTGGTGACTCGGTGTAAAGACGGAGCAAATCGGCATTGAACACAGGATGTTGGTGCATATTGGGTGGCAGGTCGATCTTGAATGCGTTGTCGTTGACCTGCTCGACAATCCTGTAAGGGCCGATATATCGCGGTTCCAGCTTTCTTGAGGGTCGATTGGCATGTGCTGCGACCGCGAGGTGTTCTGTACTGAGAAGTACCCTGTCTCCGACGCCGAACGGCACGTTACTACGGAATTTATCTGCTTGCTGCTTCTGGCGGTCCTGAGCAGCGACGATGGCATCCTGGGCGCGAGCGAGAGCAGCCGACTGAGCAGCCACGAAGTCTGAGACTGATGGCATGTTGGTGGTGGACGGCTTCAGAAGTGATGCAGGCACGAGAGGGTGGTGACCATAATTGAGAAAAAAGGGCGAAAATCCTGTCGTTGGGTTTACCGAATTGTTGTACGCAAACTCGAGCATCGGCAAGAACAGATCCCAGTCCTTTTGGTTATACGAAATGTAAGAGCGCAGCATCTCTTCGAGCGTTCGATTGGCACGTTCCGTTTGGCCGTCCGTCTGAGGGTGATATGCCGTTGACATGTTCAATTTGGTCCCCATCATCTTCATTAATGCCGTCCAGAATTTGCCTGTGAAGCGAGAGTCGCGGTCCGAGACGATGGCGCGCGGCATACCATGCAAGCGGAAGACTTGCTCGAAAAATAATCGGGCGACGTCGGTGGCGGAGTCCGTGGTATGGCTAGCACAAAAATGGACCTGCTTGGACAACTTATCTACAATGACCGTGATCGCATCGACTCCACGGCTTGTTTTGGGAAGTGACACGATGAAATCCATGGAGACTGTATCCCATCGCTGGCTCGGTATGTCCAGAGGCTTGAATAGACCGGCAGGGTGCTGAAGCAATGGTTTGTTGCGTTGGCATTGCTCGCATGATCCCACATATGCTTTTGTGTCACGAGCCATTCGTGGCCAGAAAAAGGTTCGTCTCATGTTCTCGTATGTTTTCTCGAAACCCAGGTGGCCAGCAATGGGCGAATCGTGTGTGTCATGGAGGAGGGTTGCTCGGAGCTTGTTGTCGTTTGGGATGCATAGGCGTGGCTCGCCACCAGCATTGATCCAGAGTAGTCCATCTGCAACAAAGTAGCGGTCCGTTGGGCCTGCGCTGGACGACTTGTTGTATACTGGGCCTAAGGTGCAGTCTGAAGGGTAGCTCTCGATCAGGCGTTTCCGTAAGTTGAGGTCCACCTGAACGTCCATGGAATTAAATGCTGTGCCGGCAGGGTTCTCGTCCTTGTGGTCGGGTCTTCTTGAAAGTGCATCGGGAACGATGTTGTCTTTGCCTCGCTTGTATCTGAAGTCGAAATCGTATTCCTGGAGGAGCTCCATCCATCTAGCCTGTCTCCGCGTCAAATTAGGCTGGGTTGGAAAGTGTTGTAGAGTCGCATGATCCGTGTAGACGATGAAGTGCGATCCGTCCAAATAATGCCGCCACGTCTTGAGGGTGTGCACCACAGCCAGCAATTCTTGCTCATTGTCGCATATTTCACCAGAGTTCACTGTATATTTAGTTTAACAAGTGTACCTCCAGCTCACTATTATATTTAATACAAATAAATACCTAATCGGTGTGGTGTGTGGAGCCACATCTCTTTCTCACTTATTCTGAATCCCAAAAATATCTCATTTTTTTAAGTGAAGCTTTATCCACACACACACATAAACACACACATAAACACACACACGCTCACCTTCTTACACCATGAACAACAACAACGACAAAACCCTCTTTGAAACTACCCCTTCGACCCAGCTGGTTGATGATGGCTCAGCCATGGAAGTCGACGAATTTGACCAAGGGTCTAGCCCCCCCTTGAGTGAGGACAGGCAAGAATCACCTCTAGCAGAGGAGCCTTTGTCCATTGACGCGCTGTTACAAAAATTCCAGGCGCAAAGAAAACTTCTGGTGGAGCGTGAGGCGTACCTCGTTCGGCTGATAACCACTGCCGATGATAATACCGAGAACG